GAAGCGTGCACAAGCTTACGGGAAGCGAACTCGGATGTGCGGTGATCGAACTCAGGTGTGCGGGGAGGGGGGGCCGCAGGGTGACGCGCGGGTCGACGGGGACGGGTGCACGGGTCCCCATGGGCGGCGCGCGGGTCGACGGGGCCGCCACGAAGGGCGACCGGAAGCCGCGCGCGGGTTGACGGGGCCGCCGCGAAGGGCGACGAGGAGCCGCACGCAGGTCGACGGGGACGGGCGTGCGGGTCGACGGAACGCGAAACCGCCGCGTGCGTCCAAGGTGCGCGGTGGGCAGAAAACCGCCACGCGTCCCGAGCGCATGGCGTGCAGAATACCGCCGCGCAAAGCAGGTAACCGTCGCGCGCCTCGAGGCGCACGGTGGGCAGAAAACCGCCGCACGCCCCGAGCGCGCGGTGGGCAGAAAACCGCCGCGCGCCTCGGGGCGCACGGCGGGCAGAAAACCGCCGTGCACCTCGGGGCGCAGGGCGGGAAGAAAAAATGCCGCACGCCACGGGGCGTGCGGCACAGAGAGTAGCAGTAGCAGTTGCAGCGGAAGCAACGAGGTGGTGAGCCCACCCAGAGGATCGATCCAAGGGGATCGACCTGCTCTGATAGCATGTCAAAAGTTAGAAGAAGAAAGAGGATTGAACTAGCAGAAATGGGGATACAAATAGCAAACCCTAGAAGGGTTGTACTCGCTATAGAGCACCCCACTACAGGCTAGAACATAAGAATAACATTCTGACAATAATACCGCTGCAGCTGCTGCCGTATTTTTTCTACCCCGAAATGTCCTGAGGTAACCCCGTCGTGTGCTTCCTGTAACAGTAGTTCCCGCAGTAGCGTGTAACCCGGTACCTAGATGCGGTCGGTTCCAGATTTTACGTAATAGACTCCTTTTGCCGCGGCAAATTGCTGTGAGTTGCCTCCTGTAAAGAATGGGTCTGTTTGATATCCGTGGGTAAATAGGCCTGTTAGCAGTGGGCTAGTCTGGGCGAGTAGTATCGCGTGAATCTGGGCAGTGGGGCGGGTCAGTGCGTCGGCGATGTTCGAAGCTCCTTTTTTGTATGTGACCGTATAGTGAAAATTCGACTCGAGGAAGTCGAGCCATCGAATCTGTTGTGGGTTGAGGTGGGGCTGTGCGCGGAGGTACTGTAGAGATCTGTGGTCTGTCCGTACTGTCACGTCTGCGCCGGTCAAGTAGCAGCGCCACACTTTGAATGCGTGCACGATCGCGAGCATTTCGCTCAGGCGGATGTAGCTTGCGTGATTCGTAGGCAATGGGTTGGAGGCCGTCGCCGAAGTCCTGTAACAGTACAGCTCCGATGGCGATGTCACTCGCGTCGGTAACCACTTCGAAAGGTCGGTGGGGATCTGCGATGCGTAGAACGAGTGGTGAACAGAGAACGTTTTTCAGGGCAGAGAAGGCAGCATGATCTTTCTCCCCCCACGTAAAGGCGACCCCCTTACGCAGTAAATCAGTAAGTGGGGCTGTTAAACGTTCCATGCCGGGCACGAACCGTCGAACGTAATTAACAAAACCTAAAAAACTCTGCAGCTCCGTGATGTTCGTCGGGGGGCGCCACGCTTTTACTGTATCCAGCTTCTTTGGGTCAATCTCAACCCCAGCCTCCGAAATGACGTGACCCAAAAACTCTAGCCTGTCTCTAAAAAACTCGCACTTGGAGCCCTTGGTGAGTAAGCGATGTTCCTCTAAAACCTTAAAAACTGCTTCAAGATCTGCTAAGTGCTGCTGCTTATCCCGGCTGTAAACTAAAATATCGTCTAGGTAAACTATCACGCATATATCTAAAAGTGGTCTAAACGCTTCGTTCATGGTCATCTGAAAAGTTGCAGGCGCGTTTGTCAGCTCGAAAGGCATCACTGTATACTCGAACGACCCGTACCTAGTCCTAAATGCTGTTTTGGCGCAGTCTGAGGGTTCGACCCGAATCTGATGGTAACCTCCCCGTAAATCTATTTTCGAGAAGACTCGCGCTGTTCGCAGTTGGTCGATCAGTTCGTTAGCGCGGGGGATGGGGTATCGCGACTTGATTGTTACCCTATTAAGCGCTCGGTAGTCGATGCACATGCGAAAACCTCGGTCTTTTTTCGGTGTGAACAGTATCGGTGCGGCGAACGGTGACGAGCTCGGTCGAATAAACTGCTTCTCTAACAGGTAATCTAACTGCTTCCTTAATTCGTCGAGCTCGGGCTGTATCAGGCGAAATTGCCGCTGGACAGTTGGCTGTGCCCCCGGTTCTAACTCAATCCTATGGTCGTATTACCAATGGCGTGCCGTCAACTAAGCGTGCATCTATCTCAGGTAAACATCGGTTAAGTGTTAACTGTAATTTCCGTGCGGTTGCAGTATTAACTAAGCTGTGACTTGCTCCTCCGTCAATAAAGATTTTCACTGCTGCTCCCTGTATTTTCCCGTAGATCAGTACCGGGCAATCCGTAGCTGTACCCTCCTTATTCATCCGAACCCGATCGATGGCGTGAATCGGTACTGTGACTCGGTGAGGGTCAGTGTGGTTGGGCGAGCAGGCAGTCTCGTCAGTAGTTGGCCCAACTTCTACTGACTGCTGGCGTTTCCCTGCCTCTAAGACTCCCTCCCCTGCTCTGCTCCTCGACGCCTCAGCTCCTCTGGGCATTCGCTCTTGCGATGGCCCGGCCGGTTGCAAGCAAAGCAGCGCCCTCTAAATGGCGTGGCAGCTGCATTCGTTGCGACGGCGTGTACAGTGGCGTGCTCGATCGGTCCCCGAGGACGATGTCCGAAATAGGACCCCGGTCGCGCTCGTCGTAGGATATCGATTTTCTCGGCGAGCGCGAGGATCTCGTTGAAATTCGATAGCCCGCGTAGCATTATCTTGTGCGATATGTCCGGCTTCAGCCCTCCGATGTAACGGTCCACCCGCTCCGCCTCGTGCATGTAGCCGACCTGTTCGCAAAGTGCGAGAAAACCGCTGGTGTAGTCTTGAACCGACCCGAGCTGGCGCCAAGTGCGCAGTTTCTGACGCGCCGAAATCGAAGCCGCGATCGGCTCGAAGCGCGCCCAAAGCCCTGCGCACCACGCATCCCACGTGTTGTATTGGGCGGTTTCGCACAACGAAGTCCAGGTAACAGCTGGACCCGAGGGCCCTTCCTCGCGCGACGGTGGCTCGTAGGCGCGTGGCGACGTCACGATGACTCGCCACCAATCCATGGCGGGCCCCCTGAGTAGTGAAACCGCATACCGGATCTTGGCGGCGTCCGACTCGACGTAGTTGGCGTCGAAAAACACATTCATCGTGAAGACCCACGATTGAACTGTCGGGCCGCCGCGTTGGCTTGGGTCGAAGCAGGGTGGTCGTTGCGGCTTGAGTGGCATTGGGGCCATCATGGCGTTCTCGCCACTTGTCACCGCAAACTCCACGTGCCGACGGGCTTCTCGGGGCTCCCGTGGGCTTGATGCGCTCCTGTTTCCTCCCATGCCGGGCATCGGTTGGGCTGCGCCATCACTGGCTGCACCTGAGCGCTGTCCCGTGCTGTTGTGTTGCGTTGGTGTGCCGGATGAAATGACAATCGGCTCCTCCGAATGTGCAGAAACATTGGTTGGTGCGTGGGATGTCGTCGGTGCATTCACCGTTGACTGTTGACGGGCGGAGTCACGTTCCGCCGTGAGCGTTGCGATTTCGAGCGCCGACTCCTCCAACTGTCGCACGAGACGATCGAGTTGATCCTGCGTCAGTGTGGCGAGGTTGAAATCGGCCATGGCGGGGGTGTCGGGCAAGCTCAGCGAGAGCCTCGGTCGGGGCCGTGCGTGCTTTCGAGAGAGCACTACGAGCGGCGGTGCTCTGACGCTGAGAGACGTCTACCCCCCCCAAAAAATTGAGATAGTGGGAAGCGAAGGTGTGGATGCGGCCCGAGATGAGATCGTAGGCTCTGAATACCAAGTGTTACGAGTGCAATTGAGTGAACGAACGAGAATTGCACTATCGAAGCAAAGGTACAATAAGCGAAGGCATGAGCGAACATTATATAGCGAAGACTACAGTGGTAACGGTAATGGCCGCGCGACGAGCCTGGGACTGAGGTTGGGAAAGTGTCGAAGCGTAGGCCCGGAGCGCGGGTTACTAGCCGAGCCGTGAGGTCGGGATGCGATGTGCGAAAAAGGGCGGGATGTTGAATGATGCGATGGTCGCGAGTGGTAACGGTGCCGACTGAGGTGCTACAGTGATGTACGCGCTGAGCGGGGACGCGAAGTAAGGAAAAGGGAATTTCCTTACATTAGGATAGCTACTTCTTGTGTGTAGAAGGTCTGGTTCATTTGATAACTCCGCTGAATGTTGGCACCACCACCTTCCTGTCCGTCGACTAAAGAAGCTCCAATGGCAAAGCAGCTCCCATTTTCCACCAATCGTGTCCAAGGAGAAGTATGATTTCTCCCTATGTCAGCACGCCAAGCATGCCACAGCGAAACCTCCATGCCACGTCAATTCACCCCTTCGCCAGCACTAAACTTGGGCCAGAGAATCCCGAGCCGCGTCACTCGAATGATTTTTCACGCACGCATCGCACACGCCGAGAAGAATTCATCGATGACGAGTTTACCCTGGTTCTATCCCTCGCAGCACCACCTCCACTTGATTACAAAGCAACGGCAAAGCAAATAATATGCTATTGCTTTAGACATTCCAAAGTTTTAGGATCCGTCTCTTCTATAGATTGGCTGTCAGTGACTTGGCGAACAAAGGCTCGTGATGGCGTTCAACCTTCCGGCGCAGAAGTTTCCACGCATCGATGGGAAACCAGACCTGTCGCAGCCTCGTTCGCAAAGAGGTCCTAGGTCGAACGTCTTTTTTCCAACTTGGAATCACCGTATCGAGACGGATCTGTTCACCTCCGGAGTACCGGCGTGTTCGCCTCATATCAGAGCCCTTCCCTCGCGCCTGTTCGCGACGCCCATGCGCCAATCGTTCTCGATTCCTCCGCGCCGCCGTCCGTCATTCAGATCCGCCATGCCGCGTGAGGTTCCTGACACAGCCGCTGGCTCACCCGCCCGTTCCCCCTTCTCGCCCGTGCCCCTCTCTACTCCCGACGGCTCCCGCGCCCCAGCCGCGTCTCTTCCTGCAGCCGTCGCGTCATTAGCCACCGGATCCGCCACCGACACGTCCCCTTTGCTGCCGCTTCTCCCCGTAGCGGACCCGCAATGGCTCCGCCTAATGTCCGCGGAGGCGCGTTCCGCGCCGCCGGTGCAGATCATCCAGCTTGAGGTGCGCCCCCTCAACGTGCCGCTCCGCGAGCCCTTCACCATCGCTTCCGCCACCCTTTCCGCCGTCCCCAACGTCGCCATCCGCGCTGTTCTCCGCATCCCTTGCGCAGGGGGGAAGCTGAAAGTGCGGGAAGAGAAGTATGAAATTGGATCTGAGGAAACGGGAATGTTTGGCTGGGAGGGCGACGGGCGGGGGGCGGAGGAGAACGGGGGAAGCGGCGGAATGATCGAAGTGGTGGGTTGGGGTGAAGCACCTGTGCTGCCGTCAGTTACGGAGGAGGACCAGGAGACGATTATAGAAGCATGCGCGCGCGCACGTGACTGGATGGTGGCGCAACCACCCATGCGGTGGCATGAGCTGCTGCTGCGGCTGGAGCAAAGGGTTCTGCCTGGCCATGGGCTCGCTTCGGTATGTCATCAAATATTCGTGTCAGAATTTCAGTTCTTGGATGGCCGCATGTGACGGTCGTCTTACCAGGTGGTGTGATTTAGCACGTGGGGATGATGGAACTCAACTTGCGAATGAGTGGTGCCGCAGAGGATGGTGTATGAATCCAATGAAACGGAAAGGAATGGTACATCTGAAAGCGTGAACCATCTTGCCGTCAGCTGGATAATAACTCTTGGAAAAAAAAAAAAAAAAAGGTCGAGAGCCTTCGACTGTGCCTACCCATGTGCTTGCGTTTATGAGAACTTTCGAAAAGCGCCTGTTCAACTGCTTTTGACAACCACATTCATTCTTTCTTTCTATAACCCCCCCTTCCCCTCCTTCCGCTCTCGCTTCTTCGCCCCCAAGGCACGTGCGGGAGTGGAAATGGCCGTTCTAGACGCGCTTGCATCAGCACTCGCGCTGCCGCTCTGGCGACTCTTCTCCTCATCTTCCCGCCCGCTCTCCACCGATATCACCGTAAGCGAGGCGCTGGGGGAACGTGAGGGAGAAAGGACACACACGAGCATGGGGCGGAGGAGGGATATTGAGGGGCCACGGAAATCACGGAAACGATGGGTGGGCTTTGGGTCCTAACAGACTGTTTTTCACGGCGTTGTTCAGTATGCTTCACTTCTCGTCTCTCAAACCTTCTCCTTTCCCTCTTCCTCCCCATCCATCCCCGGACCATCCCCGTTCCCGTGTCCCCCTGTGCGCATCAGATCCCCATCTGCTCACCAGAGTCAGCAGAGTCTCTTGCCCGCAACTACCACTCCCAAGGCTTTTCCTGCTTCAAGATCAAGCTCGGCGCGCTGCCCCCTTCTCACTCGCCGCTCCCTGCACACGCGCTGCAAGAGCTCTCGTTACAGTCACCGTTGGTGGACGAACTTGCGCATGCCAGGCAGGGTCAGGTTGAGAGAGAATGGGGCGGGAGGGAGAAGCGCCGCTGGGGAGAGGGGAGGGAGGAGGTGGGAGTGATGGAGGGGTGGGAGGCGCAACTGGTGCAGGCAGATCTGGAGCGGGTGGTGGCAGTGCAAGAGGCAGTGCCGCACTGCTGCCTGCTGCTGGACGCGAATGGGGGCTACCGCACTGCTGCTGCTGTCCTGCACCTCCTCTCGCGCCTTGCAGGTGACCGTAGCTGCTTGGTTGCTGTGGATCTGCTCTTTTCTGACCGCCTGCTGCTCACTTTGTGCTCGCTCAGCGAGCCTTGTCGCTGAATCATTACGTCTCCTTTCTCCCCTCCCTCCCTTGTCCCCACTTCCCCACTTCCTTCCCTGCCCTTCTCCCCCCCCCAGAGCATGGCATAAGCCCGCGTGTGTTGGAGCAGCCATTCCATCGCAGCAACTGGCGGGCCATGCACTCCCTCACGGCCGCTCTCTCCCACCAACACCACGCCACCACCTGCCGCACATCGCCATCACCCGCAGCAGCACATTCAGCCGTGGTGGTGGCAGATGAGAGCTGCCGGGGCGAGGGGGACTTGTGGCGGATCGTGCACGAAGGAGCAGCAGCCGGCGTGAACGTGAAGCTAGCCAAGACGGGCGTGGTGGGCGCTCTGAGAGTCATTGCTGCCGTGCTGCGTGCGAATAGGGCGGAGGGGAGGAGAGGAGAGCCGCTGCAGCTGATGATTGGGGGCATGGTGGAGACCCGTCTTGCCATGGGGTTTGCGGCTCACATGGCTGCTGGACTCAAGTGCTTCCAGTGAGTCTTTTCTGAGAATTCTCAGAAAACACATCCAGCCACTGTTTCTTCACCTGTATCTGCTCACGTGTCTCCTCTCCTAGACACTGCTGCTCGTGGCCCTCATGCTGGTCGCCACGCTGCGTACACGGGCATGTCCCCGTTGCATCACCTTCATGTGATGTGTGCAATGCTCGTTTGTGTGTGTGTGTCTGTCTGTCTCCTTCCTCCTCCTCACCTCCTTCATGTCTCGACTCTGCCTTTCTCTGTGTGAACCCCTGGTGCAGGTGGGTGGATCTGGATACACCGCTGCTGTTGGCGTCAGACCCTGTTGTGGGGGGGTATACAAGTGAGTCATGCCACATCGCATCACACAGCATCACGTGCACCACATCACATCACATCACATCACATCACATCACATCACATCACATCACAGGCTGTCACTGTCACGGCACAGCAGCCTCGTCTTTCCCACTCATCCACTCATTCCTCCCACTCACTCCAATGCTGTGCATTGCTTGTCATGCTGTCTCCAACTCTCATTTCTCCCCTCTTCCTCCCACACATTTGCCTGCCACCCACACACCATGCAGTGGACCAGGACAGGATCGTCTTTCCTCCAGGCTTGGGCCATGGGGGCTCCCTGCGCTGGCCAGCCCAAGCAGCACAGGAACACCGGGAATGGTGAACAAATGTCACTCTGAGAAGTCTCGGAATAGAGAGGATGAGATTCTGTCACTCTGCATGTCGTGCATGCTGCTTTTAAACAGCTGTGTATATACGTGTATATAATGTTTCATTCTTCCTCTTGCCTCGGACATAGTAGTCCAAAACAGCCTGTTCACATGCTTCACATTGACTTTCACTCTGCTGCAAACTACAAATCAAGGCACTAAGGCCTAGCAGAGTAGCGTATCGCCGTTTCACACACAGGAACTTCAGCAAATCCCGTTGCGAGCTACACTATTCCGGGAGCTAGCTAAGCTAAGGTAGGTGCTCTGCAGCACCTCAAACAGGGGCCTTTGGGAACTTGTCTGACCCGCCTCCCTCACGCCCCATCAGCAGCATCAGAGACATGTACCACATCATCATCCTCACCATCACCACCACCACCATCAGAATCAGCATCGGCATCACCAGCAGCAGCACCATGAGCAGCAGCAGCAGCAGCACTGCCAGCAGCAGGGCGCCACACAAAGACGCGTCCACTGGCGCTACCACCAGCGATGATGGGCAGCGAGGGGTGCGTGGCGAGGCGAGCAGGGATGGATGTCATGTGCTCTGGGCTGCTGAGAGGCGGCAGCCATGTGTTAGAAGCAGCAGAGAGGATATCGAGAGTGCGACCCATGCCTCCCACCACCACATGCTCACTGCCGCCGCTAACCCAATCGGCTCTGGAGGATACGGAGGGAGGGGGGTGAGGAGAGGAGAGGGGGATGAGTGGGGTTGGGAGCCATGTGGTGGTGGAGGCAGCAGAGGGGTCGCCCACATGGCTCTGGGGGATATGGAGGGAATCTGGAGCTAAGGGATTAGAGTTAGGGATTTATGGAAGTGTGACGAGTGTGAATGGATATTTGTGTGCGTGAAGGGCCACGGAATGAAAATATTCATCGCTTCCCATTGTTTGCTTGGGTAATAACGGGAAACGAAACGGTTGGTAAATTGCAAAAAACAAGGTGGTGAATTCCCAAGGTTTGAGGGGTCACCTGAAGGACCCATCGGCCTGTCTGGTTGTTGTGCTTCTTTGATATGCGCGGCTGGTGCAGGGGAGGTGAGGAACAAAGAAAGTGGACGCAGGAAAGACGGGAGCTTGAGGAGGAGACGGGAGGGGAAAGGCCGGGGAGGCGAGATAAATGGGCAGATAGCGGCGACAAACGGAAGCATGATAGGGAACACCATACTACGTGCATACAAGCTTGCCATACCACATTGGAGTCTGCATCGAATGAGGCCAACAAGCACAGACAGTAGACCGTTCAAGCACGCTTGAGGAATGGGAAGAGACCAAGTGGGGGCGAGAAGGAATGGGTAGGTGCAGGCTTGAGGGGAAACCTTGGGGCTTGGAGGGGTGGACTTGGAGGGTGCCAGAATGGCTTGCTTCCACTGGTCTCTTTTCCACAGGCGGATGGTGTCATCGTAACTGGTGAACCGGGCAAAAGGAGGAAGCATTTAGAAGTGGTGATGGGTTGAGACAAAAGCAGTGAAAAGAACGGAAAGAAGTGGAGGGAAGGTGGGAATGGGAGAGGTGGAGGAGGGAGGTGTGCAAGAGGGATGCAAGGGGCAGATGGTAAGGGCACACACACACCTGGTGGAGACGAGGAAGGCACCATCGGGTGAGAAGTATGCAGAGTTGGTTGCACGGGCATGGGGCAGCTTCATGAGAGGAGTGACTGATGCCGCGGAATGAGCTGCATGGAATAACGCAGTTCCAGCGCTTCCTCCCTGCCCTTCCTCTGTCTTCCTACGCTTCCCTCCACCTCCCTCTCCCCCGCCCAACATCTTACGCACATCCCACAAGCAGACAGTCCGGTCAGTAGAAGCTGTGGCGATAATTTCCTCCTGCCCCGGGCAGAAGCTGATCGTGCCGACCTTTTTCTCGTGAATTTCCCAGCTGCCCACAGGGCCGCCATGGCATGCCCGAGGATCAAAGGCAACTAGGTGCCCACAGGAGGTTCCGAGAAGGAGGAGGGGCGAGAAGGGCGAGGAGGGCGGCGAGGGGGTGAGGGTGGAGAAGGAGAACTGGGAGGAGGAGTGCAGCAGGAGGAAGGATGCTCGAGTGACGTCCAGACAGCGGATGGTGCCGTCGTATGAAGCCGTGTACACCTGGTGGAGTGGAATGGGAGGGGAGTGGTGAATGGGGAAGGGGAAGTTGGGGTGGCGAGTGGAAGGGAGGACGAGAGGATGAGTCACTCGTGGGCAGAGGAGGAGGAGGAGGAGGAGGAGGAGGAGGAGGAGGAGGAGGAGGAGGAGGAGGAGGAGGAGGAGGAGGAGGAGGAGGAGGAGGAGGAGGAGGAGGAGGAGGAGACAGAAGGCCAATGGCAAGGTTGGAGTGACATAGAAAGCAGGAAAAGTAAGACACTTCAGAGAAGTAGAGGGGAGGAGGGGAGGGAAGCGACTGACATTGGAGAGCGAGAGAGGGCAGTGCGCGAGGCCTGACACGGGGTTGCGATGCGGCCAGAAGGTGAACATGCCCGTTGCATCCTCAGATGCCCTGGCGCCGCTGCTGCCATCTGCACTGCCGCTTCCCGTTGTACCAGCACCAGCACAGCCGTTAGCGTCCATGTCCCCCAGGTCCCACACGCCCACCTGCCCTGCCTTGTCCCCTGCCACCACCACCAGACGATCCCTGACATTGCGGGGGAAATGGAAGGGACGGGAAGAAGGATCGGAGGGAATGGAAGGGAGGGGAGGGGAGGGGAGGGGAGGGGAGGGGAGGGGAGGGGAGGGGAGGGGAGGGGAGGGGAGGGGAGGGGAGGGGAGGGGAGGGGAGGGGAGGGGAGGGGAGGGGAGGGGAGGGGAGGGGAGGGAGGGAACGGAAGGGAGAAAAGGGATGGGAAATGGTATGCGCACAGGCCACGTGAACAAGTGGAAGGACGGGATAGGCAACAAGTGATAGAGACGCAGTGCGAGGCAAGAAATCTTATTTTCAGTTTGCAAGGACCAGGGGTGACTGACTGGTGTGGCGATTTGAGATACGTTAAGGCGGTGACAGTTGTTGTTGACGCAGTGAGGCAGGCATCCAGCACCAGCATACCGGAAGTCATACCTGGACGGGCAGCATGCTTTTTTAGGCACCTCGAAAGTCATACCGGAAGGGCAGCATGATGACGTTGTGAATCCGCTCCTTGGTCAGCTTGCACACATCGCCCTCCGCCAGTTGCAACCTCCCCGCTTCCACCGCCTCCCTTGCCCGCCCCTGCTCTCTAATCACGTCATTCTCCCCCTTTTCCTCCCCTACCTCCTCCTTCACCGCAGTCCCCTTCACGCCATGCATTCCCCCTCCTCCCTCGCCCTCTCCCTCTTTCACCCCCGTTATTCCTCGCCCCTTCACTCGCTTTCCGGACAGGGGCAACCGCCGCACGCCCCCCGCGCCGTCGCTCACTTCGTCAGAATCCGCCTTCTCCGCCTCTTTTGCCTTCCCCCGCCCGCCCCGCTTCGATCTCCGCACGCCGCCCTTCTCCCCCTCAGGTGGCTCAACAAAACTCCCCCCTTGCGCCCCGAGGTCTCCCTCTCGCTTGCGCTCCTCTTCACCCTCCTCCCCGCCCTCGTCCCCGGAAGTCTCTTCTGTCTCTAGCGCAAAGCCCCGCGGGACCATGCGCGCGCGCAACACGCGCATAAGCGCCGCGTCCTCCTCCGCCTCGCGGTTTAAACTCCGCGCGGGCAAATGCCCTTTCGGCGCAACCTCTTCTGCGATGACAGCGGCAGCGCTGGCGGAGACAGCCCCCCCGCCCCCACCGCCATCCGCGGGGGCGTTTTCCGGAGCCATGCCGCGATTGCGGAGGGATCGGCGCAAAGGCTGTTGCGGTTCCGTGGGGTGGGGCTTGGGGCGGGAACTGCGCGGGGAAAGGCGTGGCGCGGAGGACAAGAAAGAATGAGACGGAAACGGAAAGAGGAGAAGGGGGAGAGAAAGGAGGAGGTAGCAGAGGATGATAATTCAGCGGCGGAAAGTGTCAGGGCGTTGAGAGTGAAGCAAGGGCGTGTGCAAAATAAATGGACCGCAGTCCAATATAAAGATATCTAGTTCCTTGATAGTATGATCCGCGCTAAGAGCCTTGCCCACGTACGGCGCGGCGCGCTTCTTGGCGGCGATCGCGGTGGTGAGGTCTTCCGCGTACGCGGTGACGCCGAGCTGGCGAAGTTTCGCCGCATTGCGCTCCTGGATCTGCTGGCGCAGGCGCTCGTACGCCGTCAACCCGCCTTCCGCCTCTTCCATGCGTGCAATTGCTCCGGGCGCGCGCGAGATAGAGAGGCGGGATACTAGCTAGCAACCTTGTCTTACTAGACTATAATAGATTGATACTAAACGTTACTAAACGCTCATGAAACGGCCGATTGAGGTGGGAGGGGATGCTGACGAGTGGTAACTAAGAAACAGCAGAAAGCACACACTATATAGGCTCTTCCCAACAACAGCACGAGCAGCGGCAGCGCCAGCGGCGATTAGGTATGCACTACTCTGGTGTAACGGGGGGAAAAGGAGGAGAAGAAAACTGGCACAAGCAGAGAGGTCAACTGGCATAAGGGCAGTGCTCCGTGCGGCATATGAGTGCTTGAAGGGCGTAGTGGGGAGGGGGAAACCTGTGGAGAGGATAGATAGGAGGCTTCAAGCACACGAATGAAGGCACGACGACACGAGAATTCAAACGAGTAAATGGTTGGCGGATGGAGGGACACGCAGTTCCCCGCCAAAAAGTCGCGCGCACCAGCACTAAAGTTTCCAACTTTTGAGGCGTGAGAATGAGCTCTACTGTTTGTCAGATTTACATGTGTGTTTCTATGGCAAACACAAACGCAGTAACGAAGCTGTCCGCAGCGAAATATTTTTTCAACTCACTTCAGTCTTGTGTTGTTGCTGAGGCAGCTCAAAACACTACCTTCGATACCTACCACCGTAACTCTCGCTGCGACGCCGCTAGTCTAGTCTCCTGTTGATCATCACAACAAGGTACAGTGACCGTCTTGAATCCCGTTCGTCAATCCATGTAATCCTCACTTTCTGTTAGAAGATGTCGATTTGTCTTGTGACATGGGCCCGAATCTCGACTCCTAGTCACCATTAGCACCGCATGGCACCGAAGCGATCTTTCGCTTACGGCCAAGGCGGCGGCGGCGGCGGCGGAAGCGGCGGCGTGACCGCACCTATACTCGACACACTCGACACGCTTCCCTCGCGGCCGCTGCGGTTCGTGCTCCTGCTGCTCCTCGCGAATTTCGCCGGCCATTACTTTCCGCTCCTTTGGTCCGATACCGACCGCGGCGCCCTCCTTGCGGGGGGATGGGGCGCGCGGGGGTTTTCCGCCAAAGGCGCAGCTTCGGGGGAAGGCGCGGGGGGGAATCTGGTTGAAGTGAGGGGGCGGGGGAATCGCACCGCGTTACAAGTAGGATCTGCCAGCTCGGATGCGATTCGTGGCAGCGGTGCGAGCAGGTTGCAGGGCGTGGGGAGGGCGGGCGGGGGCATTCAGGAGGATGAAGGGCTGGGAGCGACGGAATGGGAACGGAGAGGGGCGCGGAGTGTCGAGGGGGGAGGGGTGGATCGGGGGAGCGCGGGCGCGGGCGCGGGCGGGGGCGCGGGGGAGGGGGAGGGGGAGGGGGAGGGTGCGGTGGGGTTGACGCCGTACGTGCGGCACATGGAGATCTCGGTGGTGTCAGAGGCTGTGTGCCGTGGCATCATTGCACCCTCACTCTACTTTGTTGACAACCTGTGAGTCCGTCCCGCGTGTGCGCCCCACGCGCGCGCGCTCATTGCAGCGCACATCTCCTGTCTCCTGTCTCCCATCTCTCATATCGCATTGCCTCCTTACGCACCATCCTTCCCTTCCCTAGATAATCTTGCCATCCGCCCTCCAAACCGCCTCCACTTCCTCCCAACCCTTGCCCCTTTTCCAGTCTCCCACTCTCTCCCGTCTCCCCGTTCCCCCCACCCCCAAACACGTTCCCTATTTCCTCCCTCTCCCCACTCCCGTCCACTCCCCCCCCCTGCATCCCCCCTTCCCCCCATCGCCCCCGTTGTGCCTCCCCTCAGGCAGCCCATAACAGCGGTGGCGGATCTGAGGGGGGGCCAGCGGCGGGTGCTGCTGTTCATGCCGCGGCACGGGCTGGGCAACAGCCTGCGCGGCTACGTCTCCGCCTTCGTCTATGCCCGCCTCGCCGGCCGCCGCCTCGTGCGCCTGCACGCTGCCGAGCATGCCAAGGTGCCGCTGGGTGCTGAGTGGTGGGGATGGTTGCAGGGTGTTGGGTGGTGGGTGATGGGTGATGGACTGAGCGTAGAGGACAGAGGGCAGAGTTGTGCTTTGCCTTAAAAAGCAACACGTTGGTGAGCTCTACTTTTTGTCTCACATCCTCCTCATCTGTCATGCCCTCCGTCGATTCCAGCAACCCAATCTCTTTCCTCCTGATTGCATCGCACTGCCATCACTGCCACCACCACCATCACCACCGCCACCACCTCCGCCACTGCCACTGCCGCTGCGGCTGCCACCGGCACGGGCACGTGCATGGGCATGTTCATGGGTGTTGGCACGGCTATGGGCAGGTGTATGACACGCTGTGTGCGGCGTTCACGTGTGGCTTCGACGCCATCCGGTGGTCCAACGAGTCGGGCCCATGGGGCGGCACCATGGGTGTGTACCGCCAGCTGGAGCTGCTGCAGCCCGTGCAGCTGCAGTCCGCCTTCAAGACGTCCGGCAGTGAGTCCCCACACTCCCCGCACTGAGGTGTATTTTGAGGGCCTTAAAATGCAGCCCGTGCAGCTACAGTCCGCCTTCAAGACTTCTGGCTGTGAGTCTCTGGACTTCTCTCCCTGCTGCTGCTCTCCGCCCTCTCCCGCACTGTCCTGCCATGACCCTGCCTTGCAGACTCACATCTGGCATACCGGCTGCCATGGCCCTTTTTGGTCCTCTACCCTCTCCAATATCTGCCTGCCTGCCTGCCACCTCACTGTGCTATGGTGTCGATTAGATCTCTCCTATCCCACCCACTTGCTCACTGTCTTCTTCAATTCTCCTCTCCCCTCCCCGCCCGCCCCACCACAACGCACACACGTCCCCTCTATGTCCTGCCAGAGATCAAGGGCAGTCTGGGCTTCACAGGCCCCATCATGCTGAGCAAGTCACCGTCACACTTTGACGGCTTCTGGCAGCTGTACCCGCGCGTGCAGGCCTGTGTCTTCTCCGCCTTCCGCTGCTCCTCCCTCTGGTGTGTGCACTCCCGCGCCATCCACGAGCTCATTCTCGGCCCCTCGCGCCTGCTGCAGGAGGTCGTGGGGCAGGTGCTGCTGCAGCACATGGGGGAGGGGACACCCCCCGTGCCGTCTCAGAAGGGAGTGGCGGATGGGGACATGTTTGACGTTGCTTTGCACATCCGCACGCGGCCTGCTGCGATTGAGCAGATTCGGGGGCGCGGGGACGAGGAGTTGAGTCGAGTGGGGTGTGAGGATGCGGAGGAGGACGAGGAGGAGGCGGGTGCGGGGAGCAAGGGGAAGAAGGGCAAGACGCACGAGTTTCTCAAGGGGTGTCTGTGGGACTGCATTGCGTCTTTGCTAGAGAAGCTTCAACAGGATAAGGCAGCACGGAGCATGGCAAGAGATGCAGCAGGTGGGGGAACCAGAGGCGGCAGCAGCAGCAGCAGCAACAGCAGAGACAGAGGCAGCAGCAGCAGCAGCAGCAGCAGCAGTGGACCTCTCATGATCCTCCTGACAACAGACAACGAGGCTCTCCGGCCTGAGTTTGTGCGGCGACTAGCACGACTAGGGTCGGTGTTCTACTCGACAGGGTCCATCGTGCATCTGTCCAAGACTGCAAGCACGGACATGGAGAGGCAACGCATGCCCACCATGGCAGAGTTTTTCCTCATGGCCAAGGCTCACACGCTCATTGAAGCCGGCTCCTATATGAGCACCTTTGCGTACTTTGCTGGGCTGCTTGGGAACGCCACGCTAGCTAGTATTGACTGGGAGGGAGGGGCACGGAGAGGGAGAGCAGGAGGGGCGGTGTGTGGGCTGAAGGTGTTTCATGAGGGTGAAGCGGTGGATGAGTATGTAGGGGGAGGGTGGGCGGGGCAGCAGGGAGGGGCTGGAGCCTGGGAAAGGTGAGATTGCGTGGGATGTGGGAGTCTATAAGCTAAGAGTGTACCAGTTGTCATGGACCACGGTGCCATTGGTGCAAGTTTTATGTAAGTTCATGTATGGAATGGAAGGCCCTCTGGCTTCAATATGCTGTTTTTTCATGTGTTTTGAATTCTAGGTGACTTTGATGATCTCGCAAAGAGAAGGGCAAAACTGAGAGAGATGGAGGCGGAGCATGGGGAGCGAGGAAAATCCTGCGATGCGTCAAGGAACAACTTGCGCTGAGGGTACAAAATGTTGCACAAATTGTGTGTGGGAGTGGGGAAACCCTTGGTTGGTGTAGCTTCGATGTGAGACATAGTAGTGCAACAAGTAACACTGGCCAACACAGGCCCATGGGTGTGATGCAGCCTTCATGTCATGAGAGATACGTGGTAGAAGTGCTTGAATCAACATTAGTAAACCCCATCATATTTTGATAAATCGTGCAATGTAGCTAAACGGGTTTTTCACTAAGAGAAAAATGTAACGCTACCATGTAACACCCAGTTGGAAAAGTTGAGAATGGTGTGCTCGAGGCTCTTCCACAACTTTGTCTTGTCACCACCGCGCAACTACGGCTTGTGGGAACCCTCCTAGCAGCAGTTTAGCATCGTCTAGGTATCTGGCGGCTTGTGTGATCCCGTTAGCTCAGCCATGGCTGGTCTAGCCAAGACGCTGAATAAGCTCACCGAACCCGCGTTCAACTGGGCGTCCCATTGGTACCGTGGTATCGTTGGCGCTCAACTGAAAAAATACGGTACGATCTGGTGCCGGCACGGATGATTTTAGTCGTGCTTAAGCACAAGCTTTCTCTTAGAAGAAAACGTGTTTTTGAATTGTTTTCGCGAGCAGATACTTCTTACACCGGTACTTACCAGATCTGTACATTTTCGCCCCGTGATGAGCAGGTCTTCGGTATGACGATCTCTACGATCCGTATTACGACCTGGACGTTGCCGAAGCCCTCAAGCGGCTGCCTCAAGCGGAGGTAGACGCGCGGAACCAACGGCTGAAGCGTGCCATTGACATCTCCATGAAGCACACCCACCTTCCCAAGGAGCTTCAGGTACCTTCACCCGCTCTAAGTTCCTGATCTGCTTCACGGAGGTACTTACGATGCATCTTCATCTGCTAGGTCTTTTGATTCATGGCAGTGAGAACACCTGATTCGTCCCTGTAACCGTGCCTCACCTCTTGGCCTGATTGGTTGTTGTGTTGTGGTTTGCCGCTTCCGTTTGTGTTCAGGAAAAGCAAACGCCGTTCCAGCCTTACCTGCAGAAGGAGCTCCATAAGGTACGCCAACCCGTTCCTTGCATTGCAACACCCATTTTTCTGTTCAGGCTGCTTTCTCCTGCGTTTGTGTGCGATGCATTGTCAGTCACTTAGATTCTGTTATGCATGATAGGGCAATTTGGTAGCAGGGCTGGAAAAAAGGAAGACGTTGTGTATGGAAGTGGCGTGCGCAGCTGGCATTGTGTACAGGGAGATGTGGGCCATTACTTGTTCTATCCTCTCATTCCTCCTTCCGTTGCTGACTTCTTGTTTGTTCAGATCAAGTTGGAGAGGGAGGAGAGAAAGGCTCTTGGATCAGACATGCCGTACAATCGCCAAATCCCATGAAGAAATTGGGGACACCCATCAGGCACACAGCTCTTGGTTTATACTACATGCCATTGTGCTTAGTGACTTGCGGTGACATGATACATCGTTCATAGATTGGTTCATTCACTTGTAGCATTTGTGATCTTACATGGCGAGGTGCTTTTAAGCATTCACAACTAAGGCTTTAGGCTAGGAAGTGCTGTCCAACGTCTCACTAGTTCACAACACACATAATTTGTTACTAGAAGGAGATGTGTGTGGATTTTGTCAAATTTGCTTGCTTCATTGAACCATGTGTTATGAAGCAGCCCCTCGCTTCATCCACCCTGTCGCGAGCCAATCATAAGGACACGACGAGTCGGAGTGATGGTTACCCGCCGGCAGTCGTGACATCGCGTTTACTGTACAGCAGCAGGGCTACTTTCAAGGGCAAGGCCAAGCATGTGTGGTGTGGAAACTCGGTTGGGGACCATCACGCGGGTCTCCTTCACAGTTGTGTTTCGTTATTGAGCAGTCAGCACAGCAGCATGATGTGATGGGTGTTCGGCAGAAGCAGCAGCTCGACCACCGCTTTTCCGCAGCCAACCTTTTCGTGATGTCTGTCCAAGGTTACCGTGGGTCACTGGTTGTCAGTGACTGATCCCCTCCTAACGATGAGATTTCGTCAGCATCTGATGATTTGAACTTGGCCGTGCGTGTGATTTGTTCTACCCGCCCGCTGGAGCAAGTGGCCGCTCCACCTGTAATCTGTTCCGTTTGGTTGGTTGGCACATCGATATGGGTATTTTTGATCGATCATTCGGTCAACCTTCTAGGCTTTACCTCTAGAGAGCAACGATTAGGGAAGACCGCCATGCCGCGTAATGGCAGGCAGAGCATTCCTTCGGTTTAATTTATCAGGTCGAATCCGGCCTTCTTAGTGGCACGCATCAGATCGACGTCATTTATTTCAGCTGACTTTAGCGTGTGCGGGATTCGGTAGTCACAAGCGGCGGAATGGAGAGCGAGAAGCTGACGTATGGCGACGTGGTGTGTCTGGGATGCATGGATCTGCACGGGTACCTGACGGGGTCAGGCCTCGTGGACGAGCGAGTGCGATGCGAGATTCTGGACGATAACGTGGACGTCCCACCTTGCCTCGATAACGCCAAGTTTGAAGTACGCGAAGCGCGATTGTCGCTAGACTCTGGGCGCCGCAGCGCTGTAGCAGCGATCTAGCAGCGTCGCAAGGGCGTTCCCTCGTTTTGACAACCGCAATGCGTTCTCTTCCTGCATTGCGTCACCCGGCGAACTCTCTCCCCGCAATCGTCTCCTTTTGCCTTTCTCCCCCCCCGCATCTTCCCTCAATATTTATCTGTCTATCATCGCTCTCAGTCTCAATACGGCGGCCTCATCCATCCAGAATTCGCTGGCAATGCCTGCTGTCCGCTGTTATTCTCCATAAATACAGAACGTGTCTAGTTTAGCGATTCGTCGCATTCTGTCTTGCTGGAAACGCCGCTTCAGCCGTACCCCACACAGCGTGGCATTTCCATCTGCTGCCCTGACGCGTGACTGTTCTGCCCCGCTGAACCCCTCCGGCAGGTGCGCATCAAGTACCAGTACTCGCTGTGGAACACCAAGGACGACGCGCACGGCAGCAGCGTCGCCCGCCCGGGCCACATTCCACCCAAGGAGGTGCACCCACCGCCGCATACTGCTGCAACCTGTCATTTCAGCTTACACCCGGCTCGCCCTGCGTGCTGCTGCATTGAAAGTTGTGCTGCATTGAAGGGCGTGCTGCATTGATGGGCATGCTACTACATACGTCTCTGTATCCGTGTTCGTGCTAAGCCAACACCCAAGGCTTGTGCTCTCATTCAGCTGCCCCCGAGCTCTGTCTCCCCTCTGTGCCCCTCCGTGTGCATGCTGTACTGTGCCACTGGCTGCGTGTCTGTTTGTCTGGCTCTCCGCTCTAATGGTCCTCTCTCTCTTTTTCCAGGGGGAAGGTGCCAGTAAAGCAGAGCAGGCGTTTAACAATGGTACGCAACAAGCTCATATCCTTTCCATCCTCTACTTCTTCAACAGTGCCTTGCTGCTCTCGCTCCCTGCATTCCAGTCCACATTCCACTGCAGTCTATCTCCCATCGTCATGCGCTCCTTTGCACGCCACACCTTTCACTCACCTACCCTTCCCTGCCCCCCTTTCCTGCCCCCCTCCATATCTCCCGTCCTGTGCCTGTTCGTTCGCATTGCACGCTCCCAATATTACGCGACTGGCACGGCTTTCATGGTATGGCATGGTATGGCATGGTACGTCCTGACACGGTGTGCTCGCAGCGGAGTTTGTGCGGTCGGTGGGCAGCCCAGTGCTGTACGGGCAGGTGGTGCAGCTGCTGCACGTGTCCAGCCACAAGTTCCTCACTGTCAAGCGCACCCAGTCCGAGCTCGAAAAGTCCCACCTCAAGGTACTGCCGCCATGCCCTGCTGCATTGCCGTCCTCTCCTCCCCCTCCTCCCGCTTATGCGTGTAAGGCCTGTATGGTGTGGGGACAGCCAAGCAGCTCCCTGGAGACGGACTTAACCGTTTGCTATGTATTGTAGGGGCGATAGTGCTGTTTTCTGCGCCGGTTTGGGCCGAGAACATGTACATGTGCAGTGCAGTCATTATTCTGAGACGCATCTGTTGTGCTGATGTGGCAGGTGGTGCTGCAGAAAGGTGGAGACATGGGCTCCTGGTTCTGTGTCACTCCAACCTACAAGATCAAGGTGAGGCGGGCAGTGCAGTTTGCACAACTTAGTACCGCAGTGGTCTGTTCGTACTGTCGCCATTCTTCTCCGTCCGTCCCCTGGAACCCTTTGTATTTCCTTGTCGTTTTCCCCCTCTGTTTTTCTTGTCCGTCATTCCCCCTATTTTCCTTTCTGTTATCCCCTTTTCTTCCTCCCCTCTGTTTCTCCTCTCTGTTCCCAATGTTTTCCCCCATGTCTGGTTATTTTTCACTTATTGTCCCTCTCTCCTCCACCTCCGCTCATATTGGTATACGTGGCCCACAGAGGGAAGGAGAGCACGTGGCGTTCGGGGATGCAGCGACCTTCACAAGTGTCAAGTTCAATGGGGCTGGGTGGGCCACGATACTCTATCCACCATAAAGACAGCTCATTTTAGTGATAGTTTCTTGACCATCATGGTTTCGTTCATTTCCTCCTTCCCTTCTTGTCAATCGCAACAATCCCCCTGACTCGCTCTTCTTGTCGCTGTTGCATGCTTTCAGCATGCTTCCAGCTACACCCTCTAACTTACCCTCTGCCTTCAACCCCCCGTCCCTCCCTAAACCCGATACCTCAAACCCTGATGGTTCTCTGTGCTAATTTTCTCCTCCCTTCCTGCGCTCCCTTCCACCTGCGATAACAACTGTTGATTTCATGGGTATGTGTGTGTGTGTGGGAGTGCGGTGTGATGCTGCATGCATTCATGGCAGTCTACGAGTCTCGGAGGGGTCATGCGACACTACAGTCATGGGCGCACACCCATACGTTGCAGATACCAGAGAAGTGAGAGATCATGCGCCATGCACCATGCATCATATACCATATACCATGCACCATGCACCATGCATCATGCACCATCCACCATGCACCATATACCATGCACCATGTACCATGTACCATGCACCATATACCATGCACCATACACCATGCACCATATACCATGCACCATATACCATGCACCATGCACCATATACCATGCACCATACATCAATCACCATGCACCATGCACCAAATACCATGCACCATACATCAATCACCATGCACCATGCACCATATACCATGCACCATACATCAATCACCATGCACCATGCACCATATACCATATACCATGCACCATACATCATGCTCCATGCACCATGTACCATGCACCATGTACCATGCACCATATACCATATACCATGCACCATGCACCATACATCATGCACCATGCACCATGCACCATATACCATGCACCATGCACCTGCACCATGCACCATGCACCATATACCATATACCATGCACCATGCACCATACATCATGCACCATGCACCATGCACCATATACCATGCACCATATACCATGCACCATGTACCATCCACCATGCACCATATACCATGCACCATGCACCATATAATATGCACCATGCACCATGCACCAAATACCATGCACCATGCACCGTATACCATGCACCATACATCAATCACCATGCGCCATGCACCAAATACCATGCACCATGCACCATATACCATGCACCATACATCAATCACCATGCACCATGCACCATATACCATGCACCAAATACCATGCACCATGCACCATATACCATGCACCATACATCAATCACCATGCACCATGCACCATGCACCATATACCATGCACCAAATACCATGCACCATGCACCATATACCATGCACCATACATCAATCACCATGCACCATGCACCATATACCATGCACCATGCACCATTTACCATGCACCATGCACCATATACCATGCACCATACATCAATCACCATGCACCATGCACCAAATACCATGCACCATACATCAACCACCATGCACCATGCACCATATACCATGCACCATAGATCAATCACCATGCACCATGCACCATGCACCATATACCATGCACCATGCACCATATACCATGCACCATGCACCATATACCATGCACCATACATCAATCTCCATGCACCATGCACCAAATACCATGCACCATACATCAATCACCATGCACCATGCACCATGCACCATATACCATGCACCATACATCAATCACCATGCACCATGCACCATGCACCATGCACCATATACCATGCACCATGCACCATATACCATGCACCATGCACCATATACCATGCACCATACATCAATCACCATGCACCATGCACCAAATACCATGCACCATACATCAATCACCATGCACCATGCACCATATACCATGCACCACACATCAATCACCATGCACCATGCACCAAATACCATGCACCATACATCAATCACCATGCACCATGCACCATATACCATGCACCATGCACCATATACCATGCACCATACATCAATCACCATGCACCATGCACCATATACCATGCACCATACATCAATCACCATGCACCATGCACCAAGTACCGTGTGCTGCATGCACCGTCCGTCCCTCGGCTGTTCTTCCCCATCACATTGCAATCACGTGTCCATCTGCATTTACCCTCCTGCACACGTAGCCCCCTTACCCCGCTCGTCCCTTCACTCACCATGCCTGCCTGCCCCATTTCCCGCCCTCTGCAGGTGAACGCAGGGCCTGAGATGGCGGGGTGGCGCATCATCCCGTTCGCCCTGCACGAGTCTCGCATCCCCAATGCACGGCAGCTGCTCAAGGGAGGAGATGCCGTCATGCTCATCCACAGGTGCCACAGCTCAGCACCATGGGTTGTGGCATGTGGGCGGGAGGGTATGGGCCACACATTGGTGGGCATGTTAGGACACAGTGGGTGCGGAACTGGAAGGCCGGCCGGCCATTGTGTTGGATTGCAGACCACGAGGGCGAGTGGCTAACCAATGTGTATCTATCCATCATCTTCGCCTTGTTAATTATATGCACCGGCTCTTTCTCTTATGTCCTGCAACCACTGGTCCTCGTGCCGCTGGCAGGGCGAGTGAGATGAATCTGGTGTGCGATGAGGGCAAAGTCGTCTTTGAAGCCCGCAAGCAGGTTAACCCTCCTTGCCCCTACCCGTCCCATGCACACACACGCACACACCCTTTCATGCTCATCTCCTTTCATTGATTCCTTTAATGCCCTTTTTTGGTTGCTCTCACCCTCCTCCTGCGACCAGCTTAGCTTGCACCTGCATTCTCCACACCACTCCGCTGCTCCGGATACTTGGTTCTGTGTTTCCACTTCGTGCCTCCTCTTCTGCATTCCAATTCGTGCATGCACCAGGATGGGGGTCCGAGCTCCAACGCGCTATGGATGGTGCAGCCCACGTGTGTGGAGTGGGGAGGCCGCCCTCTGCCCTATGACCAGGTCATTCCCATGCATGCACTGCACCCTAGACTCCTCTCCTGCACCGCCTTTACAAGATGCTTCAAACCCATGTATCGCGACTTCCCGTTCTCAAAGAAACCCTCCCCCCCCACACCCTTCATCCCCGCCCCCTCCCTCCCCCTCTGTCCCCCCCCTGGGCCCTTCCCGTCTCCTCCCCCCCACAGGGCTTCACGCTGCGCCATCTGGCATCGGGCTTGTTCCTGGAGTCCAAGCGCCAGCCGCAGAGCTCTCAGGACCTCCGCCTTGACGACTTCAGGCACGTGCTGTTGCTGCCCTGCCCTGCCCTGCCCTGCTGCTCCCTCTGCGCTCGTTTCTTCTCGTGGCCTCACATGATTTGTCCCCCCCTCCCCACAGCTCTGTGCACTCCAATACCCAGCTGCCAGTTGCAGCAGCTTGTGAAGTTTCTCTGTGGCATCCGCACTGCACCATTCTGGCACTCTGCTCCCGCATGCTCATTTGTGGTGTGCTTACAACTCCATGATGGCTGGCTGACTCGTTATGACTGGCTCACCTCACCTGTACGTTGTACGTTACACCACGCTCCCACTTCCCACCCGTGTCTCTCATTATGGCTGCATCGTGCAGTGGAGCGCTGACAGTCACAGACCTGTATCGCAAGCCCAGCACCATATGGACCATCGGAGCTGTCACTCAGGCATGGCATGCTCCACTCTCTTCCGCCCCCCTACCTCCTGCCTTTTGCCCTATCGCCCCTTTCGTTTACCATCGTCCGTTCTCGCCCTCTCCTCTCGTACCTCAAGCCTGCTTGATACAATGCTGCTGAGACAGCTAACCCCATGCATGTGCATGTTTGCGGTTGACGCATGGATTGTGCTGTGTGCTTGCACGTGGCCCTCTCCATCTCCCCTGTGCAGGGCTATGATAAGTCTGCCGTGCTCTATCAGTCGCTGCTGCGCTGCCAGGTGCTTGACTCACGCCCCTCTGCTCCTAATTCTTCTCACTGTGCTCTCCCCTCTGTCACCATCACATCACGCCAGACACCTATGCTTCATCTCCATGCGTATCTGCACATGCTCTCTTTCCCTCCCTACACTATCTGTTTCGCTGTCTCATCTGCCATATGTGGACCCACCTTCGCCTCCTCTCCATCATCCCATCAAACCCCGATCCTCCCGTCTCCTCCCCATCAGCTCATTTCTTCTTCCCCACCTTCCCGCTCCTCCCATCCCCTGTCCCCCAGGGCGTGCACGGGTATGTGTCAGGGGGGCTGGGCGAGTACTCAATATCAGCAGGGGACTCGTCAAGCCGTGCGCTGCTGGCGCAGCTGGACTCGCTGTACGAGCGCAAGTCAGCAGGCCTCACCCAGTCCTGGGACCAGAAGGTCAGCTCGCCTTGCCCTCCCAGGCTCCCGTGCCCCCTCTGCTTCTCCCTCTGCTTGCTCTTTTTCCTCTGTGGCCGCGCCTCGTTTCTTTCTTTTGCTGCCTTTCTTGGAGCCTTTGCTCACGTGTTTCAGGGGGATTGTCTTGGTTCATGGTCGTTCGGCTTGTGTGGATATGTGCGTGGGTGTATGCATGGTGCAAGCATGCATGGCGCATTATGGGTGCGAGGTGGGGCATGTTTGGTGCATGATGGGTGCGTGCGTAGTGGGGCATGTTTGATGCATGATGGGTGCGTGCGTGGTGGGGCATGTTGGATGCATGATGGTTGCGTGGTGGGGCATGTTGATGCATGATGGGTGCGTGGTTTGTGTATTTTGGTGTGTGATGGGTGTATGGTGGGTGCATGATGGGGGAGTGTGTGTGGTGTGTGCCGTATGTGTGCGTGCACTCATTTTGCATCAGGACGCACTGGTCTTTGAGGTCGCTTCACACCAAGCAGTCAAGCTCACATGCACGGTAAGCCATCTCACCCACCCACTCACTGCACTGCCATCCCATCCACCTACCCCATGCCACCCTGCATCCTCCCCACCCCATACCATACTGTTCATCCCCATGCCATGCCCATCCATTGATTCTCCATCGCATGCAGAACTAGCCATGCCCTGTTGCATTCCTTCGACTCACATATCTGCGCCTCCGTCCCACGCACCACTCGCGCCATGCTCACAGCAAGCGCACTCGGCGGCGTGTGTGCGCAACTTCGTAGCAGCGCTAGACAGAGTGGACGACATCGAGCCCTGCGCGGACGACTACCAGCTCAAGAAAAGGTGCCACGTGCTCTCCGCCCGCTGCCCACTGTTTTGCTTGTGGGCAATGGTGCTGTGGACCTACGGGGGTGGTATGGTACGGTATGCCACGGGAATGACACCTAGATTGGTGCAGGGCGGGTCACATATCCTTTTCTGCTTGCGGTCTGGTTGTTCTCTTTCATGCAAAGTTCTGCCAGCCATCATCGTCACTTAGTCAGTATGAGCAGTCGTTGCCAGCTTCTGAACTTGCAATAGCCGCTTCCCACACCCCCACCTTGTGAACCCCCTTCTCTCGCAGCATTCGTTCCTCTGGCCTCCTGCAAGTTCTTCTCAAATACGGGTACGTATTCTGCTTTGCCTATCCTGAGAATGGATTGCTGCCCTTCCCTGTAACTGCATTCCACTTCACTCTCTGCTTCGTTCTCGAAACTCCTCCCCGCTCCTTTCCAGCCTGACATCCCTCATCCCCCCCCACCTCTCTGCACATCTCTCAACCGCTTCTCATCTCCCACCACACCACTCCACGTCCTCCTGGCAGCCCGGCAGTGTCGGAGCAGTTGGAGCGGTTGATTCGCGCGCTGGTGGTGTCTGACATGCCTGATGTGCTCAACCTCAGAGGCCCTCCCAACCAAGTCTACCAGGTGCTGCCCCTCCCCTCCCCGTCCACTCCACACCACACCACACCACACTACGCCAGGCCACACCACGCCATGCCATGCCTCGCCTTGGGCATGCTATGCTGCATGCACTCTTCTCTGTTCACCCTTATTTGCCATGCTTGCGTCTGCACTCCTCTACCCTGTCACCCTCAGCCATTCCTCCCCTTGTCCCCACCTCTACCCACCCTGCTCCTCACTCACCTCCCTCCCTCCCCCAAACAGGTACTCCAGCGGGAGCAGAAGGTACTAACAGGCGTGATGACCATCCTCGAAACCCTCCTCATCCGCAAGGGCCTTCCCCAGAACAGCATCATGCACCCACACCTGTTCGGCGGCTTCGACGTGCGCCGTCTCTGCAAGCTCGTGAACCGCTACCTGCAGGCGGCGTGCCGGCGGTGCCGGCCGAATCAAGACCAGCTGGCGCCGTACATCCCGCTGCTGGAGCAGCTCGTGGGGAACGAGATCTACACGTCTGGGACTCTCATGGCCATCGTGGCTGATAATGAACACATCATCTCGTCCGTGACCGTGGAGAATGTGAGTCAAGGAGATGGGTGGAGCTGAATGCGATAGAATGTCAATGATGGGGCACGGCGACGCTCATGGCCATTGTGGCTGATAATGAGCACATCATTTCGTCCGTGACTGCGGAGAATGTGAGAGAAGGACGGATGGGTGGGGGGAAGGGAGGTTGGGAGGGCAGGGAAGGAGTGAGGGGAAGAGAGGAGGAATAGAGGAGCATGAGGTATGATGCTAATATGCGGAATGCATGCGTGCGCACTGCTGCTGGTGGTATAGCATTGTATGTGCGACGTTATACTTTTACAGCTCGTTTACTACTGAGTGTTCATCCCTCCCCCCTCTGCCATCATCGCTTCACTACCCTCTCCCCCCTCCACAATCCCTTTCCCACACGACCCCCTTCTCCCTCCACTTCCCCCTTGCTGCCCCCCCTATCCCTCCCCCCCACATCAGATCCGGCAGCGCATCATAAACTGCCGCACGTTCCAGCGGCCGCGGGACATCCGCTTCCTGAACATCATCTGCAGCTGTGGGGGAGCGCCCGTGCGCACGAACCAGAACGTGGTGGTGGACATTCTCAAGGAGAACAGCGACGTGCTCGTCAAGGCGCGCGTCGCGCCCTCTGAGAACGGCGTGGGCGAGGAGACGCTGCTGCTGGAGCGCGACGGGCTCGTGGTGGACTGTGGCGCGCTTGAGAGTCTGGATAAGCTCGGCGCGCACTCCGACTCTATTCACCGCTCGCCGCAAGGTCCGTGTTTGCTATCTTATCTGCGCACAGTCGATTCAACCCTCTCTCGCTCGCTCTCCTCGCCACTGCACATCCTCCTCCCCTTTCACTTGCTCCCTGACTCCCCTTCCCCCTCTTCTCGCCCCCTTCTCCCCCCGACCAGAGGTGCTGTTTCTGTTCTACGTGGTTACACTGGAGCTGTTCTGCACGCTGTGCATGCAGCGCAACCGCAAGGCGATAGACTGGCTGATAGAGGACAGCGACCTGTACGGGCTGGACTACCACACGCTGCGCATGGTCGTCTTCAACCCCTCGCTGCCCTTCTTCCTGCGCACCAACTGCTGCCGCCTCCTCACACACCTCTACATTGACCGGGAGCCCTTTGAGGAGCGCTCCTACACGCGTTTTGTGCTCACCTGGTAACGTTGCGCACACTGGGAACTTTCATGTAGTATCACATCTGCCTCTAGTCCCTCCCACTCAATGATGCACTTCCATGCTTTCTGCTCCTATTCCTTGCCCCACTCCTCCCCATCCCTCCCATTACTTTCTGTTCCCGCAACTCGTCCTGTCACCTCCCCTCATCACATTCACTCCCCTCATCTCTTGTCCCTCCCTCCCATGCCCGCCCCTCCCCTTCTCTCCTCACCCCTCCAACCCCCACCCGCCAGGCCGGCCATAGACAACCGTCAACCATTCCCGGAGGAAGAATCATCAGAGGAGGACGACGTGTCACAAGCCATGGCAGACCCGTTCCTGGCCTTCCCTCACAAGGCACCGGAGCCGGGCTTCACAGCGCTCAAGCACAACATCCTCGACTTCCTGCCCTCCACCACGCTCGCTCAGACCAACTCCCGCCCCGGCCAGAGCTCTCTGACTTTTGCCGTGCTGCAGACGGCCAGCCTGATGCTGCGGTTTGGGCTGTTTGGGAGCTTTTCTGGGCAGGGCGAGGAGGGGATAGCGCCCATTGTGGACGCCGTGATCCCGCTGCTGGATGGCCGGTCGGAGAAGTGGGGTGGGGATGGGGCTGCGGGCGGGGATGCCCTGCGGTTCAAGAGCGATCCTGAGTCAAACATGAATACTGTCATGGAGGTGGGTGTGGGTGGGTTGAACGCTGAAGGTCCTGGGGGGGCTGCTGGGGCAATGCGTGGGGCGAAGGGGAAAGGGGGAAAAGAGCATGCATGCATGGCAAGCATTGTGGGCCATATGATGTGCCCTGCGCTGCGCATGTGCATATTTGACATGCACGTAGCATCACTCTCGCCTTTTTCCTGCACCCGCTCTCTCCTTCCATCTAACCCGCACCCCCCCAACCTCTCACAGGCCAAGACAGTGATATGCTCCATGCTCATGTACATATTCGACATGCGCAGCAACTGGTGCATCACCACGGCGTTCGACGCCTACTCGCGCCTGGGCGACCGTGCCACCACAGTGCCGTGGGACATGCCCGCCAACCTCTCCCGCACCGCACAGGACCCCACCGACATGCCTTCTCCGGCAATCGGCGCACCTCCCTCCCCTGCAGCAACGCTCGATGCCACTTCCACCGCGACTACCCCTGCGGCTCAGGACGTGAACGGCTCGCACTCCGCTCTTGCGCGTGCGTTAGCCGCTGTCGACGGCGCCACGAGTCCTCACGGGGAGAGAGCAGGGGGCTCGGGGGGAGCAGGCGCGGCGGGGGTGGGCGTGGGTGGGTTACCACAGTCAGGCAGCACGGGGGGGCTGGCTGCAGTGGCGCTAGCAGCCATGGCAGCCTCAAAAGAGTCCAGCCGCAAGTCCATGTGGCGTGGCATGCGGCTCAAACTAGAAGCCAACAACCTCAAGACGCACGGCCGCGCCACCTTCCGCATGTTCCCGCCCGATGCATCGGTGTTTGAGGGCTTGAGTGGGCAGCTGTTCAAGCGGCCGGCGCTGAGTGCACTTGTGGAGCGGGTGTCGGAGGGAGGGCTGCCGTACATGCTAGAGGTGTTGTTGGATCTGACGCGGTACCAGTACGCGCCACTCAAGGCGTATGCGTTCTCGCTGATTGATCGCTACATGACGGAGAAGGCGTCGCTGCTGCGCAAGATGCTGGAGTGCCACATCATTGTGGATGCGGACATGATGCTCGTCTACAAGCAGGTGCCCGCCTGGAACGTCTATTTCTTTATTTACATTTTTTTCTTTTCTTTTTGAGGCATCTTAAAAGCAAGATGCTGGAATGCCACATCATCGTGGATGCAGGCGTGATGCTCATGTAAAAGCAGGTGCGTGCTTCTGTCTGTGTGGAAGGGTGCAGGGGAGAGGGGGCGTGGGGGGGAACTGTGTGCACTTGTGTTTGCTCGTACATGCGCTCTTGCACGAATGAAAGACTTGCTGGGAAGGATCGGAGCAAGCAACCTCTGCAGCCATGCCTTTCTCCCTTCCCCCAATCGCACTCGCCCCGTGCGTGCAGGTGGCTCGTGACGTGAGTGTGCTGCGCAGCCTGCAGGGCTGGCTGGGCAGTGACGACTCGCGTCTGCGAGTGGAGGTGCGGCGGCGGTGCGTGCGGCTGCTGGGGCGGTTCAAGGCCATGTGCACGGTGGGGCCGGGGCAGAACGAAGCACAGGTGCTCAAGCACCAGACCATCCTGCAGACTGTCGGCGCTCACCTCTGCTCCGGTAACCCCCACCTTACTATGCTTTCTTCTCACGCTCAGCAGAAGTAGAATCACCCGTGTGGCCCAATCATGCGTGCATCCATGTGTTGGTCTCCTTTTTCGAGATACATGCAGCCCTTTCGTACCTGCACTACTGTCACCCCTTGTGTTCCACCTTCCCTCGGCCCCTCGCACTCTCTCACTCTCTGCCCCGCCTCCTCCCGCGGTGCGTGCATGCATGCAGTGGACCTGCTGCGCACGCCCTTCCGCAGAGTGGCATCGCACGAGCCGGGAGTGATGGACTGCATGAGCGACAGGGGCCTGCAGGACCTCTTCTCAGCCGCCTACCAGTTCCTCGCCATGGTCTGTCCTTTCTCTGCCTGCCTGTTCGCCTGCCCCCACCTCCTCTCACGTCCGATCACCTCACCATCCTCTTCCCTGTCTCTTGCTTTCCACTTCCCACACTGCATCAACCATGCATTTACACACTCTGTATCCCGCACCACACCGCACACTCGTCCTACGTCCCACGCTGCAACCCCTCTCTGAACCATCCCTGCCGCACCCATCCCCGCCTCCACCCGCTTCCCCGTCCCATCCCAACCCCTCTTCCCCCGCTTTCCGAGCGCAGTTCTGTGCGGGGGTGGTGAACGAGGAGCTGCAGCTAGCCCTGCACGCGCACATGGGCGTGTTCCTGCCGCACCGGGGGCTGGCGTCGCTGAACGTGATGGCGTTCCTGTGCGCGATGCTCAAGGACAACTACGAGCTCTGCTCCACCGTGTCGCACGACCACCTGTGGGCCTGCATCAAGCTCATCCTGCGCTACGGCAAGCGTGCCACCTGGCTGCAGTTCCTCGAGGTCTGCCAGGGTTCTAGGGGAGAGAAAGGGGGGCTTAGGGGGGAGTTGTGAAGGATGGGGCAGAGGGGAAAGTGGGCATGGGGCGTTAGGAGTGGAGGAGGAGTTGGGGTCAAAGAAAGGGTTGGTATCTGTGGTCCTGCTTGTTCTCTGTCAGTTTCTGTATGTGCCTTATGCCGCTCTTCAGGCTGAGAGTTCTCTTTGAGCATATCACACCACACCTTCCATGGCACCTTCCAACGTCTCCTGCAAGCTTGTCACAGTCGTCCGGTCATTCCCTGTTGCTTTCTATCATTCCCTCTCTGTGTGTGTGTGCGGGTCAGACGGTGGTGCTGGTGAACGGGAAGCCGATAGCGCGCAACCAAATGATGGTACTGGACATGATAATCGACTACGACGACCAGATCTCTGGCCTGCCCCACTCGCCCACGCACTGGCGCTGGCGCGAGGCTCTCATGCGGCGCAACGAGCACGTGGCAGCGGGGGTGGACAGCCAGCTGCGCTACCACACCGCGTACGTCTCCCTCATTGCTGCGTGCTGCTGGGGGAACAACCCTGCGAACGCGGTGAAAGTGAGCGGGCTGGTGGGGCTTGGGGACATCATGGCCACGCTGCTGTGGCTTGCAAGTGAGACTGCTGTGAGCGCGGACGCGGATTCTGAGGACATGGATGACGCGGGGTGGGATGAGGAGGAGCTGATGGAAGAAGTCAAGGAGGGGGAGGAGGGAGAGGAGGACCGGAAGGGGGATGGGGGGGAGGGTGGAGAGGAATCGTCCGAGGTGTGGAATTTAGAGATCAGTTCGGATGGGGATACCCAAGAGGTGGACTCGTGGTCCACGGCCACATCTGAAACCAGCTCTATTCGCGGTGTGAAGCGGGGGGGAGGCGGTGGGAACGGCAGCGGGCGCTTGCAGGCCTCGGGATCGTCCCAAAGGCGTCTTGATCCCCGCATGTCGCGCAGCTTCCCTGCTATTCTGAGCCAGAAGGAAGCAGCTGGGGCGTCGCTGCAGGCCAAGGGAAGCCAGAGCTTCAAGGTCAGCCGGCGCGGACAGGGGATGTTTGACGAGGCGGGGATATATGTGTGGGGGGAGGACGATGAGGAGGACAACGAGGGGTTGTGTGAGGAGGAGGATGAGGAGGGGGTGGCGAGGACAGAGCAGGCGCGGGCCATGTGGCGGAAGACCAACTCCATGCGCACGTGGCAGGGCGAGGCGAGCGAGTGGGAGTGCCGGGCAATTCCCCTAGAGGCGGTGCACGCGGTGAAGGCTGCGTATGTGCGGCTGCTGCACCAGGCGTATGTGACAGGACATAGCGACCGAGCGACAGCCGAGATCAGGGACGAGGGCAACGGCATGTGGCCGGACGCGCGTGACTCGGAAGGTGACGGGCGCGGTGCAGCCGGGGGTATCAGATCGCCGCGTGCTGGATCAGCTGGTGGTGCCAGCGAGCTGGGTGCCGGTCCATCGAGTGCTGAGAAGGCGGCGGGGTGGCGTGGGATGAGCGGGACGGTGGGGATGCGGGGGCAGCCTGTATCGCTCATGGAGGACACAGTCACAGAGCTGCGCCTTGCAGCAGAAGAAAGCTTCGACCACGCCGCACCAGAGGGGTCAGCGCTGCACTACGTGACCACAGCCGCGCTGCCCATGCTGTCGGCTTACTTCAAGCGGCATTTCACGTCCCGCGCTGCCCTCCCGGACTCCCACCGGAGGGTGTTGGACGAGCTCGTGTCGGGGATCTGGGAGCTGTGCTCGCAGCTGCCGGCGTCGCAGCAGGAGGCGTGTGTGCGGTGCGTGGAGGAGATGAAAGCGGCGGGCGCGCTCAAGGGCACCATGTACGACCCGCTGCTGCTGCCCTTCGCCATGGACCGGCAAATGTCGCGCCTCAAGTCGTCCGAGCTCGCGCGGAAAGGCGCGGTGTTCAAGAGCAACTGGGTGAACTTCTCGCGCCTGTTCTCACACACGCTGGAGATCACAGATCTGCACACCATGGAAGGGTCGGGCGCTAGAGACCTCGCTCTGCTGCTCTCGCAGCAGCGCCTGGTGATGAACTCCGTGCCGCCGTTCCATTACTCCGACGTTGTGCGGCAGCTCACGCTGCTGCTCTCGGCGCCCAAGATCCCCGATGAGATGACTCCAGACCTCATCGTGCGCTTCCTGCGCGTGTGCAGCGCCATGATCTACCTAACAGAAGACACCGACACCAGATCCGACCTCCCGGCAGGAGTTTCCGCGTCCGCATCCTCGTCCGTGCCGACCTCTGTCTCTGCCACTGCCTCTTCGACCTCCACCACGTGGCTAGTGAGTGACGACCGCAAGCCCTTGGTAGCCAACATCACGCACTCCCTCGGTGCTGCTGTGGGGGCCGTGCCTGCTGCCACAGGCGCTGCCGCGGGCGCTTCTGGTGCGGCAGGCGCGGGGGAGAAGCGGGAGGAGCAGGTGTCAGTAGGGCTGCTGGTGCTGCGGCCAGAGGAGAAGGCGCGGGCGATGAGCAAGTGGGAGATGTTTGAAGCGTCCCTTCCCGTGCGCTACTCCAAGTCGTCTCTCGACGCTCTTGACCGCGTGCAGTGCAAATACGCGGACCTCGGCCTGGCAGAGTGCGCCGTGCGCCTCGTGAGCCACGGCAACCAGTGGGTGCAAGCCGAGGCGGTGAAGCTCGCGATCGCACTCACAGACGAGGGAAACAGCAAGGTACAGGATCTTATGTACGCTGTTCTGGTGGAGGATGGGCAGCTGTTCTTCACTGTCCAAAAGGTGCTAGCTGCTGCGTCTGCCACTATCAAGTTTGTGCGCAAGGGGCTGGATAAACAGGAGGCGCGCGCCAGGAAGGAGGCTGCTGGGAAGCGGCAGATGCAGGAGATGGCAGGGGAGGGGTTCGGGGAGGACAGAGAGGGGGCTGGGAGTGAGAGCGCCCGTGGCAGCGTGAGCGGGTTTTTCCGGGGGAGGAGTGTGCCGACGACCATGCCTCGTGCATCCTCTGCTATCAGCTCAAGAGGGGGACGAGTGCAGGCTGCCGACACATCTGCATCGTCGGCATCTGCTGCGTCAGCCGAAGCACCAGCAGCAGCATCTGCAGCGGCGGGAGCGGAGGGTGGAGGGTCGGTGTTAACTCCCTCTATGCGCTCGCGGCTCCTCCATGCAGCGGCCATGATGAGACGGGCTGCTGCCACTGAGGCAGCAGGTGGGGAGGGACCCAAAGTGGTGGAGCAGCAGAAGGAAAAGGAGGGTGGGGCGGGAGGAGCGGAAGCGAGCAGTGGGGGGAAGCAAGAGGAGGCGGGAGAGGAGGTGCAGGAGGAGCGGGAGCGGGTAGGATCGTTACGGGCCTTTACCAAGTCCAGGTCGTTGCGCATTCCCCGGGTCACTCTAGCTGACAGCCCCAGTATTGCTTCAGACGATGCTCTCACAGCCCCTGCTGCTGCCAGGGCCACACCCACCGGCAGGGGCGGCAGCAAGACGCGGCAGCCGGGGCTCCCAAAGGCCAGTTCGAGGGGCATCAGTGGCAGGAGAGAGACCGGGGAGGTGGAATTTGGTGGAGGGTTCGCTGGGGAGTCTGGTGCTGGCGGTGGAGGTGACAGCAAGGGCGGATCTGGCCTGCGCATGTTCCGCCGCGCCGTGTCCTCTGTTGTGACTCGTGAACTGCCGCGCTTCTCCTCGTCTGCCGCGCACTTCCCCATGCCCCGCACGCGCGCGTCCATGGACGCTCATGTCAAGGCGGGGCGGCGCGTGGAGGGCAGTGTGACGCGCGAGGAGGATGAGGACGAGGAGGAGAGCGAGGGGCGGTTGCGGCAGGAGGAGGAGGATGGGTTCCAGTTGTGGAACGTGGAGGAGTCGGCGAGTCACAAGGACACCACGCTGCACAAGAAGGCGTGGGTGGTGCTGTCGGGCCATGTCACTAACGTGCTGCGCATGCTTCAGCTGCTGTGCGAGGGGCACAACGCGCGCATGCAGCGCTTGCTGAGAGTCCAAGATGACACAATGGCAGCAGGTGCTGTTGCTGGTGGTGGCGGCGGCGGCGGGGGCATGGCGTATGACTCGGGGCCGTGGGGCGGGGGGAGAGGCGCGGGGGGCAGCGGTGCGGGGAGCAACGGGCGCAGTGTGAACCTGCTGCAGGAGATCATAGTGTTCCTGGAGCATCTGCAGCCGTCGCTCGACAAGAACCTGTCCCAGCACAACCCACTGCTTGCTCAAATTGCTCTTCAGGTAAGCCTGTAGCACCTCCTCAACAAGTTTGTACTTTCCTTCTGTGGCGTGCTCTCACCTTCTTGCGATTTCCACACGACTGGCCAACCTGAGAAACTAATCTCCTGCTTGCTTCCTCTTGCATCCACACACCCTCCCTCCTCTTCCCCGCCCCATGCCCCGTGCCCCGTACCAACCCCTCTTCCTCTCCCTTCCCCGGCAGGCCCTGAACACACTCCTGGAGGCGATTCAGGGTCCGTGCTTTGAGAACCAGCTGGCGCTGGTGCGGTCCAACTTCCTCTCCATCACACAGCGCATGATGGCCAGCCTTACGTACCGTGACGAGCGCGTGCCCGCCCCCGACGAGCACGGGGAGGGGGGCGAGCAGCCCGTGCGGTTCAGCCCGGAAGTGATCGCTAAAGTGCTCAGCTACACGGCGCTCGGGGATAGACCCGCTGGCAGCCTCGACTGCCCCATGGTGAGATAAGCTGGAGGGGGTCATCATGGGTTGATGGGACTGGGAGTAGATCTGGGCTTGTTCTCCACAGAGGGTGGTTGCAGGTGGCGTCGGTTGCTGTTCGCATGCCCATGCCTGCTTCTGCGTTTCACTGCCTAAGTCGAGCAGAATCAGACGCACCTGCATCGTTTCCTCCTCACATGACGTGACCATTTTTTATACATCTGACGCTCCATCCTTGCCGTAACTCTCCCCTCCCCCACCCCACGCTCGCAATCCCCCCAGCTTGGGCCAAATGACCTGCGCACATGGGTGCGCAACGGCATCCTGTCAGTGTACCTCTCCCTGCTGGAGGAGATCGGCAGCAACCACGAGATCCCCAGCAAGATGGCCGCAGTCATTGACTTCTCAGCGCTGCTGCAGCGCTGCCGCTACGTGCGCGGCACCATCCTCAACGAGTTTGACGCCTTCTCCTCCACGGCAGCCCGCAGGTTCCGCGGCCGCTCCACGCTCTCGCTTTCTGAGATGCTCGAAGCCACTGGACTTGCTGCTGTTGCCGCCGCTGCTGGTGCTGGTAGTGGTGGTGGTGCTGGTGGTGGGAATTCCGCTGCCGGTGGCAGCAAATGGGGGGGTACTGGTGCTGCGGCAGCGCCCGGGGGAAGCAACAGCGGCAGCGGCAGTGGCGTCGGTGGCAGCAGCAGCGGCGGGAGTGGTGGTGCTGGTGCGGGTAGCAGCGGAGGTGGGATGGGCGAGGGAGGGGACAGGGCAGCAGGCAGTGGGGGTGAGCAGGAGGGTGCATCACGGCAGGAAGGGTCGAAGCTGCCGCTGTGGATGACGTTCAATTCAGATGCTCTGAACCACCTGCTGCCATCCGAAGTGCTCAACTCTCTCATGATCATGATCAAGCTAGACGATTTCGACCGTTGGATGTTCGCTAGTAGCGAAGCCAGCAACGCCAGCAGCAGCAGCAGCGCTGCGCTGGCAGCGCGCGATTGGTCAGGCGCGGGCGGGCGCAGAGCGATGTTTGCGACGTGCACGTACTCGATTCTCAAGTGCGACAAGCCGCAGCGGTGCGGCACGCTGTGCTTCGGCCACACGCTGGCTGTGAGCGACTCAGAGCTGCAGAACTTTTTCTCGCACTCGTCGTGTGCCATTGAGGTGGTGCGCGAGGGGCAGCTGGAGAAGGTCTACTTCCCTCTCACGGCCGAGTGCCGCCGCCTGTCACGCGACCCCGTGTGGACCATGGCAGCATTGGAGGAGCTGTATGACGTGCCCCGGGAAAACCCCATCCAGGTCCGTGCACGCACCCCCACATGCACCCTCCCACATGCATGCACCAGAGGGCACTCACTCATATGCACCGCCACCGTCCCCAGCATCAGCATCAGCATCAGCATCAGCATCAGCATCAACATCAGCATCAGCATCCGCATCAGCATCAGCATCAGCATCAGCAACAGCATCAGCATCAGCATCTCAGCATCAACATCAGCATCAGCATCAGCATCAGCATCAGCATCAGCGCTTCAGCATCAGCGCATCAGCATCAGCGCATCAGCATCAGCGCATCAGCATCAGCGCATCAACATCAGCGCATCAGCATCAGCGCATCAGCATCAGCGCATCAGCATCAGTGCATCAGCATCAGCGCATCAGCATCAGCGCATCAGCATCTGCGCATCTGCATCAGCACCAGCGCATCAGCATCAGCATCAGCATCAGCATCTCAGCATCAGCATCAGCATCTCAGCATCAGCATCAGCAACAGCATCAGCATCAGCATCAGCATCTCAGCATCAGCATCAGCATCTCACCATCAGCATCAGCATCAGCATCAGCATCTCAGCATCAGCATCAGCATCAGCAACAGCATCAGCATCAGCATCAGTACCAGCATCTCAGCATCAGCATCAGCATCAGCGCATCAGCATCAGTATCAGCGCACCAGCGCATCAGCATCAGCGCATCAGCATCAGCGCATCAGCCTCAGCGCATCAGCATCAGCGCATCAGCATCAGCGCATCAACATCACCGCATCAGCATCAGCGCATCAGCATCAGCGCATCAGCATCAGCGCATCAGCATCAGCGCATCAGCATCAGCGCATCAGCATCAGCGCATCAACATCACCGCATCAGCATCAGGGCATCAGCATCAGCGCATCAGCATCGCCGCATCAGCATCAGCGCATCAGCATCAGCGCATCAGCATCAGCGCATCAGCAGCGCATCAGCATCAGCACATCAGCAGCGCATCAGCATCAGCGCATCAGCATCAGCATCAGCATCAACATCTCAGCATCAGCAGCATCAGCATCAGCATCAACATCTCAGCATCAGCAGCATCAGCATTAGCATCAGCATCAACATCTCAACAGTATCATCATCAGCATCAGCATCAGCATCAGCAGCATCAGCAGCATCAGCATCAGCATCAGCAGCAGCATCAGCATCAGCATGAGCATGAGCATCAGCAGCAGCATCAGCATCAGCATCAGCATGAGCATGAGCATCAGCATCAGCATCACCATCAGCATCACCATCAGCACTGCTTTGCAGTGGGATCCAGTCGCCTGGTCACGCTGTTTGACCTTCGCAATAGAGTGGTGCCGTTGCTGCAGGTGACTGTGTGTTCCCAAAACCCCCTCCCTGCTTTCCCTGAATCTTCCCTTCTGTCTCTGTTTCCCCTCCCTTTTTCCCGTCGCGCCTCTCCTTTCCCTCTCCCTTCTGCTCTTCCTGCTTCCCCCCCTTCGCCACCCGACAAGCAGAAGGTGCAGCACTTCATGCGGGCGGCGCGAGTGCTGGTGCTGAAGTTACAGCACTACGAGCGCATGCGGCACCGGCACCCGTGGGCGGGCTGGCTGCAGGACATGCTGCCGCAGATCAAGCGCCTGCCCTTCTACACCTCCATCCTCATTGTCACGCTCATAGTCTTCAGCTACGGGCAGACCATGCAGCCCTGGGCGCACTATGCCTTTGCGCTCGCGCTCATTCGCGTGCTGGGGCTGCTGCAGCTGCTGGTGACGAGCCTGGCGCTTGTGGGATTCATCTGGCTCGAGTCGCCGCTGCTTGTTTTGAAGGATGTTGCTGGGGATGAGCGAGAGGCCGATATCTCAGGTGCGGGTGGGCAGTGGGTGTGGGTGCGAGCGTGGTTGGTTAGACTGGGGAAGGGGGGATGGAGTGGGGAAGGGCATGGGGCTGGTTCTGTTTTGTTACTATTATTGGCAGCGTTTTTTCTGACCCTTTTTTTTTGCATGTGGTCTTGGGGCATATAATAATCTGTTGTCTGCATATGCCTATGTGTGCGTGTGTGTGTGTGTTGGGTGTGTACGTGCATGGGCTGGGAGCAGAGCGCATGACTCGGGGCGATGGGGCAGCAGTGGATGCAGGGGAGGCAGGTCTGGACCAGCGGCTGAACGAGTCCATGGACCTGCGAGGCGTGCCCAAGTCACTGCTCTTCCGCAACCTCGACTTTTGGTACTCCGTGCTCATGGTCGTCGCCAGGTGCGCATCTCTCCCTCGCCTCCCCCACACGCTCTCCGTGCATCATTGCACCAGCTCCTCTCAGCACCAGTCAGAGCATCACAGCATGCCCGCCTGCATCCCTATATCCCTGCCTTCTTTTGGCCTGTTGCTCCCTCCCCACTTTCCCCTTTCCCCCTTCCGCCCTCCTCTTCCCCCTCCCCCATCCCCCGTTCCATCTTTCCTTGTTTCGCAGTGTGTTGGGGCTATCAGTATCGCCCTTCTTCTTCGTCTTCCACCTGCTCGACTTTATCATCTACCATCCCTCGGGCGCCATTGTGCTCAAGTCCGCGTATGTGGGTGGCCCTTTACTAATCCGCACGGGCCTCGTGGGCATCCTCGTGATCTTCATGTACTCAATCGTCTCCTTCCTCGCATTTGCCGGTCACGACGACTTTGCCTGCACCACGCTCTACGAGTGCATAGGGCTGCACCTCGTGAATGCCATAGCGAGCAGCAGCATTGGCGGGCTGTGGCAGGCGTGGGACACGGTGCCCACGTCGGTGGTGACGGATGTGTGGCGGCAGCTGCGCACCGTGTTCATTGTGTCCTTCCTCATCGTCTGGGTCTTCCTGCTGCAGAACATCTTCACTGGACAGGTGTGTGTGTGTGTGTGTGTGTGTGTGTGTGTGTGCATGTGAGTGTGACATAGAGCTGCTGAACCATGTTTCCAGTGCCCCACCATGCTGCACTCTGCTCTGCTGTGCCTTGTGAGCATGTACACTGCTATTTACCACGAGCATTTGCACGCGCTTTCTGTTTCTGGTTGCCTGGTGAACTCAGCTCAGCTCCGCTTCACAATGCATGGTGCACAAGCCATGCGTTAGTTCTCACTTGGCCCACCCCCATGGCCTCTCTGTCATTGCCATCTGTGTGTGTTCATCTCCCTCACGTATGAGAACCAGATTGTCGATGCCTTCACCTCCATTCGAGATGAGAAAGCAGCCAAGGAAAAGGACCTCGGTGAGTGCCCCACCTTTTCCACCCATCAGTCTTCCCAAGTGCTCCATGTATATCGTCTACTGTGACACGCATATCCCACCTTTTTCTCTCTGCTGCTGCTCATCTTCTCTCACCCTCAGTCCACCCACTTCGCCAAACGCTCACCAAGCTCTCAGTCTTCCCTCACCCCCCACCCACCTCCCCCCCTTTTGCATCATCCATCCCCCTCCCCTCCCTCTCTCCCTGCCATGCAGACGACAAGTGCTTTGTGTGCAGCATCGACCGGTTTGCATTCGAGCAGCGGCTGGGGGGGTTCGTGGAGCACATAGCGCACGAGCACAACCCGCTGCACTACCTCTTCTACATCGATTATCTCCTCAAGCGCAACCCCACCGAGTACACGGGTCTCGAGTCCTTCGTGCGCGCGCACCTAGACGCGTCCAACTACGACTGGATCCCTATCGGCCGCGCCATGCACACGGACCGGCTGCAGCAGGTGCGCGCCAAGCAGAACGACAACCACGCGTCGCTGGACTCCATGCGTGCCGCCATTGACCGCATGGATGCGCGCATGCGGTTGCTAGAGGCGAGTATAGACTCGCTACGAGGGGATGTGGGCCGCGCGTCGGTGCGCGTGAAGGGGGGCAACAGCATGGGGCGGCTGGGGAGCATGAAGGAGAGCAGCTCAGGGGGAGGGTTCAAGAGGAGCCTGGCCTCGGGATCGTCGTCACGGTCTGAGTCGTTCCGGCGCACCAAGACGATTGCAGTGGGTGATAGGGGCGTGGCGCGGGCGGAGTCAAGAGGGGGTGGGGGTGGTGGGGCAGCATCGGCACGGATCAGAGGGGCGAAGAGGTAGTGCAAGTGGATGCGATGCTGCTGGTTCACTATGTGTGATCAGTTGCTAGCTGCGTGTGATGCAGTTAGGGAAGCAGGTAGATTGGAATGGGGCAGGCAGGGGAGATGCCACGGCAGGATTGCAATTTTGCAAGGGCCGGGAACTTGTGCTTGCCAAATAGCTTCAGCACTCGACCACCCTGGTCTGTCTAGTAGCTTCTGCAGGCTGATATCACTCACGACTTGTAGTGATGCAGGCCTTCGTGATTCTGGCATGGTGGTGTGAGTGCATTGTGTCTGGGGTTAGATTTTTACCGTACATCTTACGATACCATGTGATAGGTACTCACGCTGCATGTATGGTAGTCTGTTCCAAGTTCCAACCTTGACTCAATTGCCGCGACCTCTGTCTCATCCTCCCCGGGCCCGGCCCAGACTTCCCACCTGCCTAGCTAGCACACAGCTTTTCCTGCCTGACGAGCTACTCCTTCGGTCGCCATGGCATCGCTTGCTCCTTGATGCTTGCCTCCTGTCGCATGCTGAAACACGCTGCATTGACAACGCGTTTAATGTTTCGCTACTGAGCACGTTCAACACGTTCCGAACACGAATGTGTGCACTCCACCGTGCGTTGCATACACCTATCACATCCAAAGCTAGTCATGGCCTCGTCCGGTCGTCTCTGGCTCGGCTCCTGGGCTCCTGGGCTCGCTTCCTATTGAACCAGCATGCTATCTACCTTCCATCCAGAATCAACCACGATGCAATGTGCATGGACCTGCTGAGGTGATCATCTAGGGAATGAATCTTGAGGCAAAGCTGTAGCGGGTAATGTGGATTCTTTTGATCCGATTCACTCCCTCGACTTTCACCTGTCAGAATGAGCATGTGCTGGTGTGGAATCTGGATAGACTGACTCGAGTGATCGTCTACGGAATTGGATCGGGAGGTGGGTTGTTGTGATGCTGCCTGTTATGAGGCATCCCAAGAGCTGCCACACAGCCATGCATGGACTCGAAGTGGTCATCTACGGATAGGAACTGGAGGTAGATTGTAGTGAGTGATTCGGTTCGGATGCTTCCTGTGTTCTGCTCTTGCCACCCCACTTCTCTCTCCTGCAAGTACCGGTGCACCTGGTGGATACGCACCGTGGCTGCAGGGGGATGGTGAGGTGATAATTGAGATTGAGAGCACCATGTTCGTTATACGCCCGTGCAGCATAGCTCTATGTGCATCATATGCTGTCGCATCAGAGATATCACATCTTCTTGAAAGTAACCCAAAGCAAGAGCCTCACGGCCAGAAATCTACCCATCCCTTCCCAAGGCATCATAGAAAGTCAGACTGGGGATGATTTGGTGCAGTGAACCCTACCCACTCTCCGCCTACTCCGACATCCCTTCCCCTTCCCCCTTTTTCCCCAACCTTACCACGGGTTTGGTTTTGGCTTGCCTAGAGGCGCTGTGCTTGCCCCTACCAGTGATGACTGCTATGCTGCTCAGAGCTGCTCAGAGCTGCACACAGCAGCAAGGTACCATGCATGCAGCAGAGCATTCATGCAGCACCCCATGCATACACACACCTCACACACACACATCCCAGACAATAGAACAGCACCCACCGAGTCACAATCACCAGCATCAAGCACCACCCCCCCACACGCCAAGTCTGTGGGAAAAGGTTTCCTGGCACAGCATGAACGAGCTTGGGAAGGGAACGGACCAGAGAGAGGCGTGAGAAGAGAAGATGCAGAGAGACTGGAGAGACGGAGGGGTGGAGAGGGGTGCTGTGGGGTGTCGATACGCCGCAAAGCGATATGAGGGAGGAAAGGCAAGGGGAGAGTGGCATGGGATGACGCGAGGGGCAGAAACGATGCGATGAAGCGAGGAGGGAAGAGGAGTATGGGACGATGTGAGCAGGGAGCGGACTGACTAGGCAGGTGTCATTTGAGTTGACTCAACAGGCACATGGGAAGGGGCAAGTGGGGAGAGGGGGGACTGACTGGGTAGGGTTTGCAGGAGCGTGAGGTGCAGGTGCAGGAGCTGCAATGCCTCGTCCCCATGCAGGTTATGCAGATCCCCATCCATGTTGCTGCCCAGCCGCTCGTTGCTGTGCGCACCGTGCATAGCAGAGGCATGTGCAGGCACAGGGACAGGCACAGGCACAGACTCACCCACGCTACTGTAGTGGGGGAGTTGGAGCAAGCTAGGAACAGCAGCTGTGCATTTCAGAGCAGATTGGTACGACTGTGGCTGCCAAATAGCAGAGGGGGAGTTGGAGCAAGCAAGGAGAACAGCCAGGTGAGGGGACAAGCTGTTTGGGGAGAAGCAGAAGCACAAAGCACTGAGAAAGAAACCGGATGGTGAGGGCAGGAGCAGCTGGGATGGGTGCTTGCTTCTCCCTGAAGATGCGTTGCCCTGCTGCCTGCATGAGCTCTCCTGATACTCGTGACCCTGGAAGTGAGCGAGCATTTCCCTTTCCCCGGAGCTCGCTCCCCCGCGCCCCTCCCAAGCGGGCACCAGAGATACTCCTCGCGCACCCACGGCACAAACCGCCCCATCAGCTCCCACCATGTCAAAGTATGCGCACGCGGGGATCATGCCACGTGGCAGGTTGTTGCCGCCGATGTGGCTGCTGCAGACACGTGGCAGCACGAGCGTGCGCCCCCAGTGGCGCGCGAGAGCCATGGCCTCCGCCAGGTGGAGGCGAGCCTTGCTCAGCTGCTCCCAAAGATTCCCCATGGCGAGGCAGAGGCATGTTGCGAGGTAAAGGGGGGAGGTTGGCGAGGTACCGTGTGGATGGCGCAGTGGCTGGGGGGCGGATGCGGGGGAAAGGGGGGAGGTGGGGGGAAGGGGAAGAGGGGAAGAGGGGAAGAGGGGGAGAGGGGGAAAGGGTAGTAGGGGGAGAGGGGGAGAAGGGGGAGAGGGGGAAAGGGAGAGTAGGGGGCCGTTGGGGAATAGGAGTGGGGGAACCAGGTGCAGGCGCGCGATTGCTAGCGGAGGGAGCAGGCGATCATGGGGGGAGGGACGAGGGACGCGCGCTGGGATCGGGAGCTGGATAGCGCGTGAGGAAGTGCGAATCGGCGCACATACACTACTGAGGAGGTGCGAATCGGCGCCAATCGCCATTGGTTGCCACACGGGATTCCCATGACGATCGTTCCGGGGAAGGGCGGAAAGGAGAGAGGGGGAGGGGGAGTACGGGGATCGAACGGCGCGGAGTACCTGGCGGTCTGCGACTCGTCGCACTCGAACGTGCTGCTTTGCGACGGCCGCCCCGCTGCGACGACGACGGCGTCGCCAGCGAAGCCCATGTGCGATCTCGGCGAAACCGTCCGCGTCCCCCGCGACGGCCGTCAGAGATAGTAGCAGTAGCGCATTACTAGGTAGAGCAATAGGCAGCACATTAAGTAACGCATTAGGCAGCGCACTTGGTAACGCATTCGGTAGCACCAGGCATGCTTTCTCTCGAGAGGAGTGTGTGACACGACGCGTTAGGTGCTAGCTTTAGGTAGACTACTATGAGTATTGGGTTGTCAAAACTGCACTTTCGCAGGGTGTTTGCTGGTACAAACTGCAATATTCGTGCATTTGACTTATTCATCTCAAATTAATAACTAGACACCGAGGAGTTCTTAATAGTACCATCGTTGAAAAGTACAAACGCTATTATATTAAATAACTAGATACAAGTCAGAACAGGAACTGTAGCTAATAAGCCTTCTAAGCTTCCTATGCTGAAGTGTGAGCAGAGCAGATCCACTTGCGCGTCCACAACAGCATGACTCTTCTTGACCAAACAGAGTCTTATTGCGCGTCAAGTCCACAGCAGCAGCTTCAAAGTCTTCTTGACCCCTTGTAAGGAAAATCCCTTTTCCTTACTTCGCATCCCTGCTCAACGCGTACATCACTGTAGCACCTTAGTCAGCACCGTTACCACTCGCGATCCTCGCATCGACAATCATCCCGCCATCTTCGCACATCGCACCCCGACCTCACGGCTCGGCTGGTAACCCGCGCTCCGGGCCTCCGCTTCGACACTTTCCCAACCTCAGTCCCAGGCTCGTCGCACGACAACCACAGTCCATTACCGTTACCACTGTAGTTTCGCTATATATTTTTCGCTCATGCCTTCGCTCATTGTATTCTTGCTTCGATAGTGCAATTCTCGTTCGTTCACTCAATTGCACTCGTAACACTTGGTATTCAGAGCCTACGATCTCATCTCGGACCGCATCCACACTTTCGCTTCCCCACTATCTCAATTTTTGGGGGGGGGTAGACGTCTCTCAGCGATACAGCACCGCCGCTCGTAGTGCTCTCTCGTAAGCACGCACGGCCACGACCGAGGCTCTCGCTGAGCTTGCCCGACACCCCCGCCATGGCCGATTTCACGCTCGCCACATTGACGCGGGAGCAGCTTGATCGTCTCTTGCGTCAACTAGAAGATTCGGCGCTCGAAATCGCGACGCTCACGGCGGAACGTGACTCCGCCCGTCAACAATCCACGGTGAACATTCCGGCGACACCACACGCACCGACAAATGCATCTGCACAATCGGACGAGCCGATCATCATCTCGTCCGGCACACCAACACAACACGACAGCATGGGACAGCGCTCAGGCGCAGCCAGTGATGGCGCCGCCCAACCGATGCCTGGCATGGGGGGAGGCAGGATCGCACCAAGCCCGCGGGAGCCCCGGGAAGCCCGTCGGCACGTGGAATTTGCGGCAACAAGTGGCGAACAGGCCATTATGGCACCAATGCCGCTCAAGCCGCAACGCCCGCCCTGCTTCGACCCAAGCCAACGCGGAGGTCCGACGGTTCAATCGTGGGTCTTCACGATGAACGTCTTCTTCGACGCAAACTACGTCGAGTCGGACGCCGCGAAGATCCGGTATGCAGTTTCGCTGCTAAGGGGCCCCACCATGGACTGGTGGCGAGTCATCGTGACATCGCCACGCGCCTACGAGCCACCGTCGCACGAGGAACGGCCCACGGGTCCAGCTGTCACCTGGAGTTCGTTCTGCGAGACCGCCCAATACAGCACGTGGGATGCGTGGTGCGCAGGACTACGGGCGCGCTTCAAGCCGATCGCGGCTTCGATTTCGGCGCGTCAGAGATTGCGCACTTGGCGCCAGCTCGGGTCGGTTCAAGATTATACAAGCGGTTTTCTCGCACTTTGCGAACAGTTCGGCTACATGCACGAAGCGGAGCGGGTGGACCGTTACATCGGAGGGCTGAAGCCGGATATCTCGCACGAAATCATGCTGCGCGGACTCTCTAACTTCAACGAGATTCTCGCGCTCGCCGAGAAAATCGACATTCTACGCCGACCGAGACCGGGGTCCTACTACGGACATCGCCCTCGGGGACCGACTGAGCACGCCACTGTACACGCCATCGCAACGAATGCAGCTGCCGCACCGTTCAAGGGGCGCTGCTTTGCTTGCAACAGGCCGGGCCATCGCAAGAGTGAATGCCCAGAGGAGCTGAGGCGCCGCGGAGCAGAGCAGGGGAGGGAGTCTCAGAGGCAGGGAAACGCCAGCAGTCAGTAGAAGTTGGGCCAACTACTGACGAGACTGCCTGCTCGCCCAACCGCACCGACCCTCACCGAGTCACAGTACCGATTCACGCCATCGATCGGGCTCGGATGAATAAGGAGGGTACAGCGACGGATTGCCCAGTACTGATCTACGGGAAGATACAGGGAGCAGCAGTGAAGATTTTTATTGACGGAGGAGCAAGTCACAGTTTAGTTAATACCGCGACCGCACGGAAACTGCAGTTAACCTTTAACCGCTGCTTACCTGAGATAGACGCACGCTTAGTCGACGGCACGCCACTGGCCATACGGGAAAAGGTGGAGCGAGTAAAAATCCGCTGCGGAGGGAACTTCGGGTTTACACAGGAAATGCTCGCCACGACACTGGATGGGCACGACATTTTATTGGGACGTGATTGGCTGCGACGGTATAACCCGCGAATTGACTGGACGACGGGTAGCTGCACCGTGCGAAGTAGTGGTAACTGGGTCGAACTACCTCGCTGGCGGTCACCCGAGTCTTCAACGGTCCACGTCAACGCCATCACGATGAAACAGGTTGTTGCCGCGGGAGCTGGCGTGTACGCAGTGGATATAGCACTAGTAGGAGAAGAGGAGCAGCCGAGCGATTTTCAGAAACTGTTGGCAGCGATACCGCCGGTACTTCAGGATCTGTTGAAACAGTACCCGGGGATTTTTCCAGACGATTTACCGCAAGGACTGCCACCTCAGCGGGCGCATGACCATCGGATCGAGTTAGAACCGGGGGCACAGCCAACTGTACAGCGCCAGTTCAGACTGACACAGCCCGAGCTCGACGAACTAAGGAAGCAGTTAGATTATTTGTAAGAGAAGCAGTTTATCCGACCGAGCTCGTCACCGTTCGCCGCACCGATACTGTTCACACCGAAAAAAGACAGAGGATTTCGCATGTGCATTGATTACCGAGCGCTCAACAGAGTAACAGTCAAATCGCGATACCCCATCCCCCGCGCTGACGAACTGATCGACCAGCTGCGAACAGCACGGGTATTTTCGAAAATAGACTTACGGGGGGGTTACCATCAAATTCGGGTCGAACCATCGGACTGCGCCAAGACAGCATTTAGGACTAGGTACGGGTCATTCGAGTACACGGTGATGCCTTTCGGGCTGACCAACGCGCCCGCAACATTTCAGATGACCATGAACGAGGCGTTTAGGCCACTTTTAGATACATGCGTGATAGTTTACCTCGACAACATCCTCGTTTACAGTCGCAACCAGCAGCAACACTTAGTCGATCTCGAAGCAGTGTTTAAAATTTTAGAGGAACATCGGTGACTCATCAAGGGCTCCAAGTGCGAGTTTTTTCGGGATAGGCTAGAATTTTTAGGGCACGTTATTTCGGAGGCTGGAGTTGAAATCGACCCGAAGAAGCTGGATACCGTAAAAGCGTGGCATCCCCCGACGAACATCACGGAGCTACAGTTTTTTAGGGTTCGTTAATTACGTTCGTCGGTTCGTCCCCGACATGGCACGATTAACAGCCCCGCTAACAGATTTACTACGCAAGGGGGTCGCTTTTACGTGGGGGGAGAAAGAGCATGCTGCCTTCTCTGCCCTGAAACATGTTCTCTGTTCACCACCCGTCCTACGCATCGCTGACCCACATCGCCCCTTCGAAGTTGTTACAGACGCAAGCGACATCGCCATTGGAGCCGTACTGTTACAAGACTTCGGCAACGGCCTCCAGCCCATCGCCTACGAATCACGAAAACTGCATCCGCCTGAACGAAATTACCCGATAAACGACCGCGAAATGCTTGCGATCGTGCATGCATTCAAGGTGTGGCGCTGCTACTTGACCGGCGCAGACGTAACAGTACGGACAGACCATCGATCCCTACAGTACCTCCGTGCACAGCCCCACCTCAACCCACGACAGATTCGGTGGCTCGATTTCCTCGAGTCAAATTTCCATTATACGGTCACCTATAAAAAAGGAGCCTCGAATATCGCCGACGCACTGACCCGCCCCACTGCCCAGATCCATGCGATACTACTCGCCCAGACCAGCCCGCTACTGACAGGACTATTTACCCACGGATATCAAACAGATCCATTCTTCACAGGAGGAAACTCGCAGCAATTCGCAGCAGCCAAGGGAGTCTATTACGTAAAAGCTGGGACCGAACGCATCTGGGTACCAGGGTACACACTACTACGGGAATTACTGTTACAGGAGGCACACGACGGAGTTACCTCGGGACATTTCGGAGTAGAGAAAACACGGCAGCAGCTGCAGCGGTATTATTACTGGCCCGAAATGTTGACCGACGTGCAACGACACGTGGCATCGTGTCCCACTTGCCAGATCATGAAGTCAACCCGGAAGCGGCCGGCGGGACAGTTGCAACCAATCCCACCTCCAAAGCGTGCTTGGCAGCAAGTGACGATGGACTTCGTCACAGGGTTACCGGCCGGGGCGAGTGGGAATGACGCAATCCTGGTCGTCGTCGATCGACTGACGAAAATGGCACACTTCGCAGCCTGCAAGAAATCAATCACAGCCGAAGAAACAGCCCGCCTCTTCATCTCTACCGTCGTTCGACTACACGGGATACCAGCATCAATCATCAGCGACAGAGACACGAAGTTTACTAGCAACTTCTGGCGGAACCTGTGGCAGCAGTTCGGCACGCGCCTACAGTTCAGTTCATCGTATCACCCCGAAACCGACGGACAGACCGAACGGACAAACCATGGAACAGCTCATTAGGGCCAC